GGCACTCCAACGGTTATTGGTAGAGTGGGAGAGGTTATATTATTGATGGCTACACATTGGTGTCTATCACTAAGATAGACACCAATGTGTAGCCAATGTGTAGCCATCACTAAGATAGGATTGGATATAGTCCAGTGCATGGCCTCGGATTCCATAATGATGGAGTTTACGTAAGAGGTAATTGTGATTACCTTGTGAGTTGTTACATTAACAACCTTCCATGACTCTGGCACTCAGCCTGACTCAATTCATTTATTAAATATGATAGAAAGTGGCTCGCAAAGCTCCTCTTTGCATTCTTTAAGCACCCTGGCAAACACTTCATCAGGCCCTGGGGGATTTATTTGGTTTCAGTTTGACTATTTGAGCGGGCATACGAGTGAAAAGCGACGTTATTCTAAGAGGACGGGTTGCGGTAACAAGGTTGCTGATTTGTGGAACCAATTACTGTGTGACATAAGTAGGATCCCTTGATTGTTTCAAGCGTAGGTTAGACATATATGAATGAGATTGGGTGGATATAAATAGGAGCTGCCTCGTATGAGCCAATAGGCCTTCTGCAGTTACCTTCCTTTTTATGTTCATAATTATGGCCATTCATCCACTTGTACACCTCCATCATGTCACCCAGAGTTCTTCGCCTTTCTAGGGAATGTACAAGTCCACTACGGGCTCACCATAGCCTGTGCTACTTGGAACTTTTGCTTCCAGTCGCTGAATCTCATTGCAGAACCTAAGTTACGAAACGTAGTTGACCTCACCTTACTTATGCTGAGTCTACAATACTATACTTACGAGCATTATTAACTTTATAATAAGTTTTAAAAATAAAAAGGAAAATTCGTGTAAAATTAGATATACTAATTGACTACAAACAAAGATCCCTGTCACAAAAGAACACTTGTTTAATCAATGGACAAAACGTTTATGTGAAAAAAAAATATAATTGTAAACATTTTCAATTTAACTTCAATTTTTTAATTTTGCTTCTTATTATTATTTTAATTGTTATAAATAAAAAACATACACACTGAAGCATTGGTGCTTTATGGTACGTTATATATTTTCATATTATATAACGCAGTGTTTTTTCCAAAGGGTTCAGCGCGCCTCACTGGTGCAGCGAGAGAATGGGTAGATCAAGTTCAAGTAAGTTTATGGAGGAAATTAAATACATCGCAAAAGAATAGAGTAGCTAAGGCTATTTTTACCCTCGTCTATTTAAGAGACTCACAAACCTATGCAGTACACAAATATGAATCATATTTTACATGGCCCATGGCATACTGTGAGATCACTTATTGATTACGAGGTCCCTGACATGTCTTGTTTTGTTAAAGGTAAACTAAACAAGTTAGAGAAGGTACAAAATGAAGCCATGAGAACAATCTTGGGATGCCCATGAAATACTATTATTGACATAATGATGATGTGATTAGAGGGAAAGCCGGTCGGCCGAGCGGACAGCACACTGGACTTGTGATCCTGTAGTCCTGGGTTCGATCCCAGGCGCTGGCGAGAAACAATGGGCAGAGTTTATGTAAAAGTCCACTACGGGCTCACCATAGCCCGTGCTACTTGGAACTTTTGCTTCCAGTCGCTGAATCTTTAACTACAGCATAAGAGTCCCATTGGGACTTGAGAACCCATTGTGGAACCTAAGATACGAAACGTGAAATCGCGGAATTTAGAGATAACACCATCAATAGTGTCCAAGAAATGTGTAAGTACTTCATTTATAATGATGTGCTGCCAGGAATCTTATCGAAGTATCCAAAATGACTGTTTGCACATGACTAGAGCTGCCGCCCAGTTGGGTGGGTGTGGAGCACATGACTGTAAAGCTGCCGCCCAGTTGGGTGGGTGTGGAGCACATGACTGTAAAGCTGCCGCCCAGTTGGGTGGGTGTGGAGCACATGACTGTAAAGCTGCCGCCCAGTTGGGTGGGTGGGTGGAGCACATGACTGTAAAGCTGCCGCCCAGTTGGGTGGGTGTGGAGCACATGACTGTAAAGCTGCCTCCCAGTTGGGTGGGTGTGGAGCACATGACTGTAAAGCTGCCGCACCAGTTGGGTGGGTGTGGAGCACATGACTGTAAAGCTGCCGCCCAGTTGGGTGGGTGTGGAGCACATGACTGTAAAGCTGCCGCCAAGTTGGGTGGGTGTGAAGCACATGACTGTAAAGCTGCTGCCCAGTTGGGTGGGTGTGGAGCACATGACTGTAAAGCTGCCGCCCAGTTGGGTGGGTTTGGAGCACATGACTGTAAAGCTGCCGCCCAGTTGGGTGGGTGTGGAGCACATGACTGTAAAGCTGCCGCCCAGTTGGGTGGGTTTGGAGCACATGACTGTAAAGCTGCCGCCCAGTTGGGTGGGTGTGGAGCACATTGTTCTGATAGCAGATTTTTGCTGAGTGATGATGGGCTTGAGGTAGTTTGCAGTGGTTGAACCCCATGCACAGATAACGTATGTAAGATAGGGATAGATTAGCGCATAGTATATTGAGAGGAGAGCAGAGTTTGGAACATAATATCTGATTTTAGTAAGTATACCAACCGTTTTTGAGTGTTTTGGCTGTATTGTATGTGGGTGCTGAAGTTGAGTCTCTTGTCTAAGTATAGGCTAAGGAACTTTCCATCAATTTTATTGTTGATGTTAACATTATCTATCTGAAGCTGAATTGCATTTGTTGATTTGCTTCCAAATAATAAGTAGTAGGTCTTTTTTTATGTTTAGTGTGAGTTTGTTGGTTGACATCCATGAGTGGACATTTTTTAATTCGTTATTTACAACAGTATTTAGTGTGTGTGGGTTGGGGTCTTAGTAGATGAAGGTAGTATTGTCAGTAAATAATACAGGTTTAAGAATGTTAGAAACATTAGGCAGATCAATGAAGTATATATAAGAAAAAAACAGTTTCAAAAACTGTGGGCATTCTTTCTAAGATCAGATATTATGTACCACGCCCTGCCCTGGTGACTCTCTATTACTCCCTTATCTATCCATATATCAACTATGGTATTTGTGCTTGGGGCTCTACTACCCAAAATCACTTACGTCCTCTAATTACTCAACACAAAGCTGCTATTAGGACAATATCCAATTCTGGCCCCAGACATCACTCGGTACCCCTACTTAAATCTCTGAATATGTTAGACATTAAGTCACTGCACATTCTCTCATGTGTATTATACATATATAAAACGCTAAACTATAATGCCAATCCTGATCTCAAAAGCTTCATAGAAGGTTGTATCAGAACCCATGAGCATCACACCAGATATTCCTAATAAATACAGTTTTGATATTCCTAGAGTACGACTTAATCAAACTAGAAATGCTCTACAAATCAAGGGGAGAGCATTCTCTCTCTCAAATTATATACACTGATGGTTCCCTACACCGCTCCACGGGTGCAGCTGGAAGTGCAGTTGTCCTGACAATGGGCGATGGCCTATACTTTGAGTGGGGAGTCCGTATAAACAACTGGGCCTCTACCCTTCAGACTGAACTATTTGCCTTGATCCTTGCACTGAAATGTGTACAAGTCTCAAAACTTGATACATTAATTGTAAGTGACTCCTTATCATCCTTAAATGCTCTCAACTCTTTAAGACATAACTGTAACATGCTCGTGTCCGAAGCTAGACACAAATACAACAAAATCACTAAGGATGGTAACAGAGTCCATTTCATGTGGTCTCCATCTCATGTTGGCCTCCGAATGCATGATAGAGCTGATAAGTTAGCCAAAGAATCTGCCTTTAAAGGAGCCGTTGAGTGTAACCTTGGATTGTCAATGAGCAATCTGAGAGCAGCTGTACACCGAGAACTTCAACAAGATCTTGTAGATCTGACCCAGAATGTGGAATGACCTTCCCAACCATGTTAAAGACTGTACCTCTCTCAACCAGTTTAAGTTAAAAGCGAAGCTATACCTAATCAATTCCCTGTAACCTACCTTACCCTTCTATTGTCAACCAATGTCTGTTTTTTTCTTTAAAGAGCGCTGTTTGTCGACATAATTGTATTTGTGCTGCTTTTTCATCTATGTTTTCATTTCTTGTTTTCATTCTACTCATTATGCTCAATTAGTATTAAGCTTGTCATTTAAGTTTATCATGCCCGAAACGCTTTGCGTAATAGTGGCTTTAGGCATTGTATGTACTAGCTATACCTATAAGTCAAACAATCCTTGTAAATATTTATTGTATGTATGTACCTTACCTAAATAAAATTGTATTGTATTGTATTGTATTGTATAAAAAGGAGAGGATCTAGGATGCTGCCCTGTAGTACCCCTACAGTTAATAGTTGAGTGGGAGAGGTTATCTGGTTGCGATAAAATTTTATCTGGTTATATGAATGTTGTTTAAATCCTAGGATGTTAGAAATGGTTTTCCACATACTTTTCTTGTTGCTTCTTTGACTCTACTCTCATAATAGGACAGTTTCCCTCTTCTTATTATACTCGTAAGCATTGATAAGTATCTCTTAACTACATACTTCTTTTGCAACTAGGTTAATCCTAAGTTTTTTTCATATTCACATTTCTTGTTGATTGCTTTGAGCCACTTGTGAGCCAGGGATTGTTTAATCTTTCGGCAGTTACTTGCTTGGTGAGGAGAGGACAGTGACTGTTGTAGAGGCTTAGAGTTTTGGAAAGCATCTTTTTGTAATTGCATCTTTTTGTTTTGGTTAAGGTAGGGCTTGAGAATATAGGATTTGTCTTCGGCTACATTTTGGGAATAAGTGTAATTTATATTAATTTTGAAATAAATGTAATTGCTTTCATACAGTCGGCAATAAATGATTTTTTTACTGATTTGGAAACAAATATAACATGTGTTTTATTGTATTATATATAGTATAAACGTGATCCTCTAGTCACGTGTTTACGAAATTTGGCGGGAAGCGCATGGTGGATGTACGATATTGTGGTCCGGGGCTTGTGGGACGCTGAGAGCCAATCAGCGCCCGCTTTATCCCAAGCCCCGCCCCCTCCTCACACTCAAAACATCTGGTTCCCTCGCCTACCCTTTCTGTTTTTAAACAATATTTTCTTATATACGGCATTCATACCAGTTTCATTATCGAGCCATTGCCAAGGAATCCCTATTGTAGCTAAATAGTGCGTTATGGAGGGCACAGGAGTCTCCAGGAAAGAGAAAAGTGCTGTTCAAAACCTTGTCAAGAAATTGCCGGGAAAGTTTGGAGTTCGAAGGTGGTGACTTGAGTTGTTGAGAGTGTTGCTTTGTGTGGCTGGCGGAGACGTCGCTCTCGCTCTCATTAAACCCTTCCTCTGGCTCGGGATGCTCTTAGGAAACAACCTGAAGGAGGCCCAGGAGGCAGAGGCTGCGGTGTGAGCTGGTGGCTGCCGTAGAGGGCGCTAAAACGCGGGAAATCTGAAAGCAAACAGCTGATCGTCTTGGACTTGTGTGTTTGTGGGAAAAGATCGTGGTTGATGCCACCAGTGTGGGAGACAAGCACTACCACCACCACCAGCATCTCTGGCCGAGCACCACCACCACTAGAGCACCACCACCATCATGCCGCTCCTCTACAAGAAAGCCTTCGTGAAGAATGAGCCGCCCCTCAGCCTTCAGCCCACAGATAAAGTCTTCTTCTGTGATATCACCAATGAGGTCTTTACCGATTATAAGTAAGTTGGACACCAAGCGGGTTATCTTGAGGTTATCTTGAGCTTAACACCAAGCTGGTTATCTTGAGGTTATCTTGAGCCTAACACCAAGCTGGTTATCTTGAGCTTAACACCAAGCGGGTTATCTTGAGGTTAACAAGTGGGTTATCTTGAGGTTATCTTGAGGTTCACACCAAGCAGGGGTTGAAGTCCCAGCATACACCAGGGACTAACTTTAAAACCCTTACCTTAATCTTACCTATTCTAACTTTATCTAGCCTAGGCTATTCTTACCCATCCCTTACCCTTAACCTAAACCAACATATTCTTACCCATGTTTATCTAACCCTGCCTTACATAACTCAACCTTACCTAACCCAACCTTACCTAACCCAACCTCACCTAACCCAACCTCACCTAACCCCAATCTTACCTAACCCTAACACAACCCAACCTTACCTAACACAACCCAACCTTACCTAACACAACCCAACCTTACCTAACACAACCCAACCTTACCTAACACAACCCAACCTTACCTAACACAACCCAACCTTACCTAACACAACCCAACCTTACCTAACACAACCCAACCTTGCCTAACAACCCAACCTTACCTAACACAACCCAACCTTACCTAACACAACCCAACCTTACCTAACACAACCCAACTTTACCTAACCCCAACCTTACCTAACACAACCCAACCTTACCTAACACAACCCAACCTTGCCTAACACAACCCAACCTTACCTAACACAACCCAACCTTACCTAACACAACCCAACCTTACCTAACCTTACCTAACCCCAACCTTACCTAAACACAACCTTGCCCAAACCTTACCTAACACAACCCAACCTTACCTAACACAACCCAACCTTACCTAACACAACCCAACTTTACCTAACCCCAACCTTACCTACCTTACCTAACAACCCAACCTTACCTAACCCCAACCTTACCTAACACAACCCAACCTTACCTAACCCAACCTTACCTAACACAACCCAACCTTACCTAACACAACCCAACCTTACCTAACCCCAACCTTACCTAACCCCAACCTTACCTAACACAACCCAACCTTACCTAACCCCAACCTTACCTAACACAACCCAACCTTACCTAACCCCAACCTTACCTAACCCCAACCTTACCATACTTACAGCCCAACCTCCTAAAATGATAGTACTTATAGTAACTATTTGGTTGAAAGTACCAATATGTAGTGATGGACCACCACAAAGTACCAATATGTAGTGGTGGACCACCACAAAGTACCAATATGTAGTGGTGGACCACCACAAAGTACCAATATGTAGTGATGGACCACCACAAAGTACCAATATGTAGTGATGGACCACCACAAAGTACCAATATGTAGTGGTGGACCACCACAAAGTACCAATATGTAGTGATGGACCACCACAAAGTACCAATATGTAGTGGTGGACCACCACAAAGTACCAATATGTAGTGGTGGACCACCACAAAGTACCAATATGTAGTGGTGGACCACCACAAAGTACCAATATGTAGTGATGGACCACCACAAAGTAGCAACATGTGATGGACCACCACAAAGTACCAATATGTAGTGATGGACCACCACAAAGTACCAATATGTAGTGATGGACCACCACAAAGTACCAATATGTAGTGATGGACCACCACAAAGTACCAATATGTAGTGATGGACCACCACAAAGTACCAATATGTAGTGGTGGACCACCACAAAGTACCAATATGTAGTGGTGGACCACCACAAAGTACCAATATGTAGTGGTGGACCACCACAAAGTACCAATATGTAGTGGTGGACCATCACAAAGTACCAATATGTAGTGATGGACCACCACAAAGTACCAATATGTAGTGATGGACCACCACAAAGTACTAATATGTAGTGATGGACCACCACAAAGTTGACTTTCGTAATTTTGGACAAACTTTCGTAATTTGGACAAACCAGAAACTCGTTCTCGGCAACATACATATAAGACCTAACCTCTGCTAGCAATCCTAGGCTTGATACATGCTATCTTAGAACTAATATAGTACATGTATATGTGTTATACTAGGCCAAGGAATATTTAAGTTTGGGTTTTAGCTAGATTTATTTCTGGACTATAAAATTAATAGTACAAAAACTGATTTACTGGTGGTCCGTCACTGCATACTGGTACTGTACGTGCTTTCGATCAAGAGGTTACCGTAAGTACAGTCGAGGAAAAGTATTCCTCTACCCCCCTCACTTCGGTGGAACGTGCAAAATGGCAATGCCGCGTCTTTTGTTGTAATAATGGATTAGATTAGCTTTGTAACGACAAGTCTCATTAGTCAAATCACTACACACTGGTTTATATAATTCACACTTGCTATCAAAAGGAAAAGTGTAGAGCAATGAAGAAAATATAATGTATGTAGATTAGTGAAAAATATAGATGTGGACTATGACAAGAAAGGCACCCCTCCCCTCTCCAGGGACAAAAATAAAGTAATTACTGTACCTAAGTGTAGTTACAGGATGAGAGCTACGTTCGTGGTGTCCCATCTTCCCAGTACTCTTTGTCGTATAACGCTTTGAAACTACTGATGGGTTTGACCTCAACCACCTTCTGACTTAGCTTGTTCCAACCGTCTACCACTCTGTTTGCAAAAGGAAACTTTCTAATGTTTTTCACAAAAGACTGAACACAATAACAGCAATAATAATGATAATTTAACTTGCCTGTTACTGCAGACGACACTAGGATTTTCATGAGAGTAGAGAATATACAGTAGTAGACAACACAGCAAACCCCCAATCTGATGTTTGTATGTCTGATGGCATGTTAAAAGGGTGAGATGCCAGATGAACTGGCTAAGGACATTATTCTACCTTGTTGACCAGACCACACACTAGAAGGTGAAGGGACGACGAAGTTTTGGTCCATCCTGGACCATTCTCAAGTCGATTGTGATAAGGAAGTAGAGACAGGCAATAAATTGCCTGTCCAATTTATTGCCTGTCTCTACTTCATCACAATCGACTTGAGAATGGTCCAGGATGGACCGAAACGTCGTCGTCCCTTCACCTTCTAGTGTGTGGTCTGGTCAACATACTTAAGCCACGTTATTGTGACTCATCGCCTGCATTATGGTACCTTATATACAAGGAAAAGAGTACTAGGGTGAAATATGGGTATTAGTGTATTTAGTATCAATAAAAAAAGTGTATACAAGGATACAAAATAAAGTCAAGAAACAATGTAAAAAAAAAAAAGGTAGGAATAGAGAGGAGTAGTACAGATCAGGTTTTACTTCGAGAATGATTTTAAACAAATTTCTTGCGACTAATGTTTATTTTTGGTTTTGCAGTGAATATTGGGAGCGGTTAGTACTGTGTAATGCCATGGTGTGGACGTGTGAGCTGACCAGCCGTCCCAACCTCACCTATGCTGAAGCCACTGAAAGTGAAGGAAGAGCCAGAAAGTGCCTTGCTAATGTTCCTCAGGCAAGTTCCTTGTAATTCTTTGGGGGGCTTGTCAAAGAATTACATAATATTTAGTTAACTTTTTTAACTTTATTTTGTAGAGCCCTTTGTATTCAAATACAAGAAGCTCTTTGTGTTCAAATTAGACATAAAAATTCAATTACTGTACTGGAATAACTTTGTGGAAAATTGTAAGGTATAAAGGGAAAGACGAGACATTTGTCACAACTGGGGGATTGGGGAGGGGGGGAGGTTTGGTGTGGCTGTTGCCACACTTGGTCGTACCCCAAGTGGCACGGGTCACTAGACGGGCATCTGGGCTCTCCATCCTCACACCCCCACCACCCAGTGACACCAATTGTCACTCACCCCTAGTGCTGACTCGGCCCAACAAAACGGTGGAGGAATGTCTGCTTTTCCTACACTTGCAATTCAAAATATGGTCTGCAGCCTCTATCTGAATGTGGGGAATAACTACTGACACGGCCCGGAGTCAGGTATACACACACACTACTTGCTGACACAGTCCAGAAGACCGCAACTCGGACAATTGATGATCTACACTCGACTAACTAATGTTAGTTCCTCCATCAAATACTAATAAGCCTAATTGAAATATCAGGCTAGGCTAGGGGTTTGTCAGACTCCTCTTGAGATTGGTTCCCCAGGAAGGACAAATCAAGGAACTAGAGAAAGAATATGAGACATGGAGATGGACAAGGAAGGAATTTGAAAAAATAAAGAAAAAGATATGGACATAAGAACATAAGAACATAAGAACAAAGGTAACTGCAGAAGGCCTATTGGCCCATACGAGGCAGCTCCTATTCTATAACCACCCAATCCCACTCATATACTTGTCCAACCCGTGCTTGAAACAATCGAGGGACCCCACCTCCACAATGTTACGCGGCAATTGGTTCCACAAATCAACAACCCTGTTACTGAACCAGTATTTACCCAAGTCTTTCCTGAATCTAAACTTATCCAATTTATATCCATTGCTTCGTGTTCTGTCCTGTGTTGATACTTTTAATACCCTATTAATATCCCCCCGGTTATGTCCATTCATCCACTTGTAAACCTCTATCATGTCACCCCTAACTCTTCGCCTTTCCAGTGAATGCAACTTAAGCTTTGTTAATCTTTCTTCATATGGAAGATTTCTAATTTGGGGAATTAACTTAGTCATCCTACGCTGGACACGTTCAAGTGAATTTATATCCATTCTATAATATGGCGACCAAAACTGAACTGCATAATCTAAATGGGGCCTAACTAGAGCAAGATATAGCTTGAGAACCACACCAGGTGTCTTGTTACTAACGCTGCGACTAATAAATCCAAGTGTCCGATTTGCCTTATTACGAACATTTATGCATTGATCCTTTTGTTTTAAATTCTTACTAATCATAACTCCCAGATCCCTTTCGCAATCCGACTTCGCAATCACAACACCATCTAGCTCGTATCTTGTAACTCTATCATCATTACCTAACCTCAGAACTTTACATTTATCAGCATTAAACTGCATCTGCCAATCCTTTGACCATTTCAAAACCCTATCTAGATCAACTTGAAGTGATAGTGAGTCCTCCTCCGAATTAATTTCCCTACCGATTTTCGTATCATCGGCAAATTTGCAAATGTTGCTACTCAAACCTGAATCTAAATCATTTATATATATTATAAACAACAGAGGTCCCAGGACAGAGCCTTGAGGCACTCCACTTACAACATTTTCCCACTCTGACTTGATTCCATTTATACTAACTCTCTGTTTCCTTTGGTATAGCCATGCCCTAATCCAGCTTAATATAGCACCCCCAATACCATGAGACTCTATTTTTTAATCAGTCTTTCATGTGGCACTGTATCAAAAGCTTTGCTAAAGTCAAGGTATACAACATCGCAATCCTTACCACTATCAACTGCCTCAACAATGCTAGAATAAAAAGATAACAAATTTGTTAAACATGAACGGCCATTTATAAAACCATGTTGCGACTCAATTATTAATTTATGTTTTTCAAGATGAAGACGAATTTTATTTGCTATTATAGATTCGAGTAACTTTCCCACAATAGACGTTAGGCTAATTGGTCGATAGTTAGACGCAAGTGATCTATCTCCTTTCTTAAAAACTGGTATCACATTAGCAACTTTCCAAAACTCTGGCACTCTGCCTGACTCTATTGATTTATTAAATATGGTTGACAGTGGGTCACAAAGCTCCTCTTTGCATTCTTTAAGCACCCTAGCAAACACTTCATCCGGCCCTGGGGATTTGTTTGGTTTGAGTTTTACTATTTGTTTAAGAACATCCTCCCTGGTAACTGCTAAACTCGTCAACCTGTCCTCGTCCCCACCCACATAGACTTGTTCGGCTGAAGGCATATTGTTAAGTTCCTCTTTAGTAAATACAGATACAAAATATTTATTAAAAATACTACTCATCTCTTCATCACTATCTGTTATTTGACCTGTCTCAGTTTTTAATGGACCTATCCTTTCCCTAGTCTTAGTACGATATAACTGAAAAAACCCTTTAGGATTTGTCTTTGCTTGCCCTGCTATGCGAACTTCATAGTTTCTTTTTGCTTTCCTTATCTCTTTTTTAACATTTCTAACCAGTTGTACGAATTCCTGTTCTAAAGTGACCTCCCCATTTTTAATCCTTTTGTACCAAGCTCTCTTTTTACCTATAAGGTTCTTCAAATTCTTTGTTATCCACTTTGGGTCATTAGTATACGATCTATTCAATTTGTATGGTATACTACGTTCCTGTGCTTTGTTTAGAATATTCTTAAATAAGTTATATATTGAATCCACATCGAAATCCCCATTTAAGTCACCTATCGCTGGGTTCATGTCTCGCTCCAAGACCGGCCCACATCCCATACCCAAGCCTTTCCAATCAATTTGACCCAAGTTTGGATCAATTTGGACAGGAATTAAGAGAAACTGTACAGACCAGTGAAAGGATAAAGTAAGGCAAGGTATTTCTAAAAGAAAATCCATGGGCAACTCAAATGAAAGAAGTTACTAGATTTGGATAAATGCAAAGAGGAAATAAAAAAAAACATGCACAAGTTGTAAAAGAGAAAGAGACACTCAAAGAAGTATGTTTGGAAGCCGGGAACAAAAATGAGAAGTCAGGATCTGACATCAGACAAGCAGTTAAAAAAAAAAGAGCTGATTATTAGCAGTAAATTGATACTGAACACTGTAGACAGAAGTAAGTCTATAATAATTTTTGGATGTTTGGAAAAGGAGATACTGTACCATGTAGGGTGGTCAGAGCATCTAAAGAGGAAGAAAATCATTTTAGGAAATAGTAGGTTTAGGGGAAGACCTGCCAATGAAAGAAAATGTCAGTGATTTTTGGAGAATAGGAAAGTGTAAGACTCAACCTTTAAGGGTGGCATTGAATGGAGTGAAGCAAATGACAGAAGTGCTTAGGAATGCCAAGAAGTTGTAAAATAATGAGGATGGGAAATAATGGTCATTAAGACGAGACCTTTGTAAGGAAGACAGAGAAGATGAAACTGAATCTTGCTGAAACGAAACATTTAGATAAGAATAGAAATTCTACATGGCGATAGGGATCGGGAATTTGGTGAGATGGTACACGAAAGTAAACCAACAAACTCGTTAGAGAGAGGAAGTGTGAAAGTCAAAGGGGAGGGAACATGTATCTGGCATGTGCAGTACTGTATGTATGATTTGATAACTTTCTTGTCTTTTTCCAGAGAGTACATTTTGAGAGCTTTGAGATGGTCCCAGTAATTTAGATCTTTTATCGCCTCTGTGCGTGCTCTCTCTATTCCCTCGAATTCAGAGATCTCTCCTGCTTTGAAAGGGGAAGTGAGTACTGAGCAGTACTCAAGACGGGACAACACCCGTGATTTAATAGTATGTTTTAGCATTGCTTTGGGATCTCTGGATTTGAACGTTCTCATAATCCATCCTATAATTTTCCCGACCGCTGCTATATTTGCTCGGTTATGTTCACTAAATGTCAGGTTGTCAGACATCATAATTCTCAGAGCTTTTACATGTTGGTTTCCTTCTATGAGCAGGTCAGATTGTGTCCTGTACCCTGTATTTCGTTTAAGTTCCTCGTTTCCATCATATCTAAGTTTCTGGGACTTATCATCGTTAACTACAGGGGCCTCGTAGCCTGGTGGATAGCGCGCAGGATTCGTAATTCTGTGGCACGGGTTCGATTCCCGCACGAGGTAGAAACAAATGGGCAAAGTTTCTTTCACCCTGAATGCCCCTGTTACCTAGCAGTAAATAGGTACCTGGGAGTTAGTCAGCTGTCACGGGCTGCTTCCTGGGGGTGGAGGCCTGGTCTAGGACCGGGCCGCGGGGACACTAAAGCCCCGAAATCATCTCAAGATAACCTCAAGATAACCCCTAAACTGCGCAAAACGTCATATGAAGTGTGACTTTGAGCTCAGTTTTTTAAATTTTCTGAAACTCTTTCAAATGTTTTGTGCATAATCTACTAGGGAAATGCTCCAACTTTGTCTAGATGATTCCAGTGTAACTTGAAAAACAAGAGAGTAAAAAATAATTATAAAATTGAACATTGAAAACTTCAGATTTTGAAATTGGCTGTAAAAATATAAAATATCACCAACTGTTCATTTGGTGCTGTTATGCTCTCAGAATAGCATATGATCTTCATTTTCATTTATTTAGGATATAGGTTTTCAGTATAGTTTACTGTAAAAAAATTTGTCTATGGCATTTGTGAAATATGCATAAATTTAGACAACAGAAATTTATAACTCCAAACATTTAGAGTTTATGAAAAGTCAATTCTATAGGGATTGTAGAACAGACAGCTGTGCACACTATATGTAAAAATGGTGAGAATTAGTCAGAAACTAGATTTTTAGATACTGAAGTAAGTGAAATTCTAGTTAGATGTAATTGAAGTTGAAGTTATCGACAATGAATAAGGCAGTTCTAATTCATGAACTTACTTGTATGTTTTAATAAACGTTGTTTGGCATTTGTACTCGAATATGTGAAAGTCAAGAAAAAATAACCCCCAAAGAACTAAATATAGGGATACTCAAAATAATTATGATTTAGGTGATATATTTAGGGTATACAAACCTTGATCCATTTTTAAGTTATAATATTGCACAACAGTTTAAGAAAAAACTGAAAGGGGGGGCTTACAATGTTTCATTACAATTTTATATTCATATATTGTGTGTTCATGAGGTTTTTCTTTAATCTTCCATCCTTATTTTCTGACTGCTTAATCCTCTTTGACTATTCTAAGCTAAGCTATACCTGTTTCTGGTTATTTTTTTCCCCTAGAGATGGGTTGGTCAGGTTCCAGGTGTTGGCCTGTACCCTCCCTCTCTTTCCTCTAGTCAGTCTATGTATTGACAGTGACTTTAATCAGGCCGAAACATTCACTTCCTTTCACATTTCTCTGGATTTTCCGCATAAAAATGATCAGTGTTTTGTGATCGTCAATTGCATTTAGGGTATACTTTATACAAGTAAAAAAAGCCCTAATCTGGTCCCCCAAATCATCAAAACAACCTAAAAAAACAAGGGAAATAGAGTTTGAAACCTGTGAAAAAATCAGTTCCCAAAACTTCAAAAGTGCCAAGTTCTGAGAGTTGTAACTGATTTATTTGTTGACCAATTTAATTCTGTCTTCACATAGTTAGGGACGGGTATGCACGCTCCAGGATGTCTTCACATAGTTAGGGACGGGTATGCACGCTCCAGGATGTCTTCACATAGTTAGGGACGGGTATGCACGCTCCAGGATGTCTTCACATAGTTAGGGACGGGTATGCACGCTCCAGGATGTCTTCACATAGTTAGGGACGGGTATGCACGCTCCAGGATGTCTTCACATAGTTAGGGACGGGTATGCACGCTCCAGGATGTCTTCACATAGTTAGGGACGGGTATGCACGCTCCAGGATGTCTTCACATAGTTAGGGACGGGTATGCACGCTCCAGGATGTCTTCACATAGTTAGGGACGGGTATGCACGCTCCAGGATGTCTTCACATAGTTAGGGACGGGTATGCACGCTCCAGGATGTCTTCACATAGTTAGGGACGGGTATGCACGCTCCAGGATGTCTTCACATAGTTAGGGACGGGTATGCACGCTCCAGGATGTCTTCACATAGTTAGGGACGGGTATGCACGCTCCAGGATGTCTTCACATAGTTAGGGACGGGTATGCACGCTCCAGGATGTCTTCACATAGTTAGGGACGGGTATGCACGCTCCAGGATGTCTTCACATAGTTAGGGACGGGTATGCACGCTCCAGGATGTCTTCACATAGTTAGGGACGGGTATGCACGCTCCAGGATGTCTTCACATAGTTAGGGACGGGTATGCACGCTCCAGGATGTCTTCACATAGTTAGGGACGGGTATGCACGCTCCAGGATGTCTTCACATAGTTAGGGACGGGTATGCACGCTCCAGGATGTCTTCACATAGTTAGGGACGGGTATGCACGCTCCAGGATGTCTTCACATAGTTAGGGACGGGTATGCACGCTCCAGGATGTCTTCACATAGTTAGGGACGGGTATGCACGCTCCAGGATGTCTTCACATAGTTAGGGACGGGTATGCACGCTCCAGGATGTCTTCACATAGTTAGGGACGGGTATGCACGCTCCAGGATGTCTTCACATAGTTAGGGACGGGTATGCACGCTCCAGGATGTCTTCACATAGTTAGGGACGGGTATGCACGCTCCAGGATGTCTTCACATAGTTAGGGACGGGTATGCACGCTCCAGGATGTCTTCACATAGTTAGGGACGGGTATGCACGCTCCAGGATGTCTTCACATAGTTAGGGACGGGTATGCACGCTCCAGGATGTCTTCACATAGTTAGGGACGGGTATGCACGCTCCAGGATGTCTTCACATAGTTAGGGACGGGTATGCACGCTCCAGGATGTCTTCACATAGTTAGGGACGGGTATGCACGCTCCAGGATGTCTTCACATAGTTAGGGACGGGTATGCACGCTCCAGGATGTCTTCACATAGTTAGGGACGGGTATGCACGCTCCAGGATGTCTTCACATAGTTAGGGACGGGTATGCACGCTCCAGGATGTCTTCACATAGTTAGGGACGGGTATGCACGCTCCAGGATGTCTTCACATAGTTAGGGACGGGTATGCACGCTCCAGGATGTCTTCACATAGTTAGGGACGGGTATGCACGCTCCAGGATGTAAAGGTTACAACAAATTCAAATAATACACAAAGGAGAGAAAAAACTAAAAACCTAAAAAAAAAACAAATTTCCCTTAATTTTTTTTGGGGGACAGTGTTGAAAGGAACTGATAATAACATTGGGCAATGTGTATATATGTGATATATAACAAAATAGATTATAATAATATAGTCATTATTATTTGTGTTATTATGTATTACTCAGCAATGCTATAAAGGCATTACTCACCTAGTTGTGTTTGCGGGGGCTGTATGTCCTCTATGTGGACACTTCTTACTACTGTTCTCCTTCTTTGTGCATTGGACAGGTGCTTACATCTTTATTACTGCATTATCCATCAGTTCCAGTTAATAGGAGCTGTTCTTATCAACAAGACATTATTATTTTTTTAAATATTCATCTAAAATCAATTTCTGAAAATATTTTGACGAAAGTTTCACGACGCTGAAGCCAATAAGTTGGAGATTTGTTTAACATTTTTAAGTCATTTTTACATAATTCAAATATTTTTTGCTTTCCTGCCCCCCTTATGCTGAGTAGTTTAAGGGTTAAATATTATTTTCAGTTGCCCATTCGAAGACTTGATACTATCTTGTAGTGTTTCAGTGCCTTCTACAGCATAAGTTTTCATTCTGATTTTTGTATCATCTGCAAATGATGATATGAAGCTATTACTATACTAGTATTTTTGTCTATATCTGAGATAAGAATTAGAAATAGCAGTGGTACAAGGACTGTGCTTAGGGATACAGAGCTTTTCACTGCACTTGCTGTAGGTGTCTGGTGTGGGATACAGGGGGAGCTGGTGCGGTGGTCTGGTGCGGTGGTGCAGGGGGAGGTGTCTGGTGCGGTGGTGGGGGAGGTGTCTGGTGCGGTGGTGCACTGGTAGGGGGACTGTCTGGTGGTGGTGGTGTAGGGGGAGGTGTCTGGTGCGGTGGTGCAGGGGGAGGTGTCTGGTGCGGTGGTGTAGGGGGAGGTGTCTGGTGCGGTGGTGTAGGGGGAGGTGTCTGGTGTGGTGGTGTAGGGGGAGGTGTCTGGTGTGGTGGTGTAAGCAAACCAGAACGGGTTGTGGTGAAGATAAAGAGGCTGCCGCCTGGGGGACATCCAGTGACCCCTCTGGGTGTGTGGTGGGCGGCGGGTTATGGCTGGTTTATGGGCGGTGTGTGATTATCTCATGAGTGATCACTGGCAGGTAAACACGCATGCTCCACCTCACAATTTATTCCCACCAACACTCCCATAATACATGAGTGCCGCCACACAACTGCCCCTTTTTGCTCGCCTACTGTGTACTCTTGCCACAGTTTATGGAAAGCCAAATATATGGACGAATATATTCAAGAGCCAGTAATGGGCCGTATTTAAGGTAGCATATCGTCGATCTTATGATTGACTGTTACTCTTTGCATTCTGTTTGATAGTAAGTTGAAGATCCAACGTTCCACTTTACTTGTTATTCCTATTGATCTCATTTTATGGGCTATCACTTCATGGTCACATTTGTCAAATGTTTTTGTAAAGTCTGTGTATACAACATCTGCATTTTGCTTCTCTTCTATGATTTTGTCATAATGGTTGAGTAACTGTGACAGAAAGGAACTTTCCTCTCTATATCCATGTTGTCCTGGGTTGTGAAGTCCGTTATTTTCCATAAAACTGGAAATTTGATTTTTGATCGCTCGAAAATGTTTATTACGTGTGTGATGTTAGTGCAATTGGTCGATAATTTTTTGCCAAAGCTCTAATACCTCTTTAGTGCAGAGGAGCTGTATCTGCTGATATAGCTGGTATCTCCCTTGTATCCATACTCTTTCTCTATATTACACTGAGCACTCGTGCTACTGGTACATTACATTTCTTTATGAATATTGTCTTCCCTGAGTCAGAAGCAGGGGCCATGTGCATGGGCATGTTGTCAGTTTCTCTTTCAAAGTCTTCCGAGTTTGTGTTAAAATCATGCATATCCAACTTGTTCTTCATGTTTTTCTTGTTCTGTAATTAATCATGAAAGACTGGGTATGGGCAGACAATTGTCTTCTCACAATGGTGGCAATTAACAAGAAAAGTTATATTTTAAACATTTGTGTTATTTTTACCAAATGCTTAACTGTATTCAATATAAGTTTTATAATATATTTATATTCAACAGCTAATTCGGAAGCCCATATTGTACATAGCTACCTTGACTCGCCGTGGGCGCTACATAGACATGAGTGAAGATGTTTTCAACTTCGTCCGTGACCGGTATTTTGTCGGGGAGGAGGTCGAGGCCATAGTTAAGAAGCACTGGTATGATTGCAAGGTATGGATACTAAACTTGGTCCAGTGTTGGTTACGTTATGTATTTTTTGTAGGTTGTGAAAGTATCGGTAATTTTTATATAGTACTGTAAAAGTTCTTGAGTTTGGTCTTCAGTAATGTGGACCTTTGTGGAATCGGTTCAAAATTGAGTAAATTTAAAATTTCAGGATATTAACACTATTTGCTCACATTACACAAATATTAATGATGATTACTGTTTAGGTAACTCGTATAATCCACCCTTCGCCTGAAGAAGTGGCCAAGTATGAAGAAGAAACTGCTGATTCTGATGAAGATTCCGAAAGCTCGGAGAAAAATGGTGAGCCCAAGCAGAATCAAGATAACCACGAGAGCAAAATGAATGGAGAGAATGAAAGTATGGAAGTGGATGATGATGATGATATCCAAATCATCAAGGAGGTCTCCCCAAAGAGGAAGGAAGCAAAGAAGGCAGATAGTGACAATAATTATCCTCCATTTGCTACTTTCAAGTATGAAGTAATTGAAAAGGAACCATGGGACTACAAGGAAGTAAAGGTATGTGTTTTGTAGTTGTCAGGTGGCATCAGAGGTTGACCAAATGTGACCTATACTGTTTGTGGTTGTTGGTAAGAATGGTTAGCTCTAAGGGTACAACACTTAATTCAATTATACCCTGGATTACTTGCAAATGCCGTATCTACGTTTAAAGCTGTGGATTGAATTGGCCTCTCAGTTCATTCTATTTTTCAAATATGAAGCTGGAGAAAGTTCAGAGGTATGCCACTAGACTTGTCCATAACTAAGTTCATGAGTTACGAGGAAAGGCTGCGTGAATTGAATCTCACGTCACTGGAAGACAGGAGATTTCGGGGAGACATGCTCACGTACTGGAGTGAACAATATGGAAGAAAATGCAGAATAGAACCATTAAAGAGCAGAGGTTCTATAGGCATAATCAGAGAACACTGTATAAACATCAGAGGTCCGCAGTTGTTCAACGTCCTACCAGTGACTATCAGAAATATTGCCAGAACAACCGTGGACATCTTCAAGAGAAAACTAGCCTGTTTTCTCAAAGGAGTGTCGGACCAACTGGGCTGTGGTGGGTATGTGGGCCTGCGGGCCGCTCCAAGCAACAGCCTGGTGGACCAAACTCACAAGTCAAGCCTGGCCTCGGGCCGGGCTTGGGCAGTAGAACAACTCACAGAACCCCATCAAGCAGGTATATGTGGGCCTGCGGGCCGCTCCAAGCAACAGTCTGGTGGACCAAACTCTCACAAGTCAAGCCAAGCCTCGGGCCGGGCTTGGGGGGTAGAAGAACTCCCAGAACCCCATTAACCAGGTATATGTGGGCCTGCGGGCCGCTCCAAGCAACAGCCTGGTGGACCAAACTCTCACAAGTCAAGCCTGGCCTCGGGCCGGGCTTGGGGGGTAGAAGAACTCCCAGAACCCCATCAACCAGGTATATGTGGGCCTGCGGGCCGCTCCAAGCAACAGCCTGGTGGACCAAACTCTCACAAGTCAAGCCTGGCCTCGGGCCGGGCTTGGGGAGTAGAAGAACTCCCAGAACCCCATTAACCAGGTATATGTGGGCCTGCGGGCCGCTCCAAGCAACAGCCTGGTGGACCAAACTCTCACAAGTCAAGCCTGGCCTCGGGCCGGGCTTGGGGGGTAGAAGAACTCCCAGAACCCCATCAACCAGGTATATGTGGGCCTGCGGGCCGCTCCAAGCAACAGCCTGGTGGACCAAACTCACAAGTCAAGCCTGGCCTCGGGCCGGGCTTGGGGGGTAGAAGAACTCCCAGAACCCCATCAACCAGGTATATGTGGGCCTGCGGGAACTTGATGCTACTGTATTTGGAAATTACTGCAGTGTGAATTGATCAGTGTCACTTTAAATATATTTTGTATATATTAATCTTGAATTTTTATCTGGACAAATGCTTCCTTACCCCCATTTAATGGCAAAATTAGCTATTGACTTTTGTATTGTTAAAAAATTACATGTCATACATTTTATTGTTAGCTTTTGTCTCTAACTTACAATCTGGGATTCCAGGTTCGATTCCCGTGTGGGACGGGTACGTTTCCTTTCACCTAATGCCTTTATTCACCTAGCAATAAATTGGTACCTGGGAGCTAGGAAACTCGTTGTAGGGTTGCATACTGTGGGGAAGGTTAGTAATTCAACCTAGGGGTGGACCGCGATACAGGCCTAAAATATGTATACAGTATATACAGTATAGGATATATATAGTATACAGTATATATACCGTCTTCCTGTCCCTGACAAGGGGAATTATGATATACCTTAGCTACCTTGAGGTGCTTCCGGGGCTTAGTGTCCCCGCAGCCCGGTCATCGACCAGGCCTCCTGGTTGCTGGACTGATCAACCAGGCTATATATATATATATAAATATATATATATATATTTAGGATTAAGTCAATTTTTTCTTCCAGAAACATATCGTTACATGGGAGCAGATACGGCGTATGAAGAGTACTTTCACCCGAGAAAAGTGTAAGCTGTTCCTCAAACAGTGTGTGCAGCTTTCTCCATCTGGGTTTTGGGTTATTAAGGTAAGAGTTGTACAGTATATGCGCTAATGGCGAGTCAAGGTTCTTTGGTTTCACAGGCTACTTGTTCTGCAGATTGGAACTTGGGAGTAAGCAAGTAGTAGGCAGGTAGCGGCTCCCATAGTAAGAACTTACTATGGGAGCCGGTCGGCCGAGCGGACAGCACGCTGGACTTGTCATCCTCTGGTCCTGGGTTCGATCCCAGGCGCTGGCGAGAAACAATGGGCAGAGTTTCCTTCACCCTATGCCCCTGTTACCTAGCAGTAAAATAGGTACCTGGGTGTTAGTCAGCTGTCACGGGCTGCTTCCTGGGGGTGGAGGCCTGGTCGAGGACCAGGCCGCGGGGACACTAAAGCCCCGAAATCATCTCAAGATAACCTATACTTGGTTAGATTTTGTTGACACATTTGTATAGGTTAGTGTTATGTCTTTAAAGTGAAGAATCTGCAGTCAAAAGTTGAGAATAATTGTGTATTTGCCTGTGCTGGAAGCTGTAAGAGGAAGGGTGTTAACAATGTAGTTTAGGTAAGATTGGAAAACTGTGCTACTAACACACAAGATAAGATTGACAGCATTGTTACTGCATGAAAGATGTAAATTATGTAAGGTGAGTGGATGGCATATTGGTATTTCATCCAATTGGATGACATTGTCATTCGTTTATATTCTAAAAATTATTTATTAAGCTTGTTCTGTACTATCAATTGTTTAAGAGTTTGTACTTCAGACACTGCTATTAGTATCAGATTCCTGTCACTAAATCATGAATATAATTTCCTACAAGATTATTTTCTAAAGGAACACAAAGGTCACTTTGCATGATGCGTAGATTCACAAACCTCCGTTGTGTGCTGTGAATGTCTGCCTGCTGCTGTGGACATCATAACTAGCATTATATTCACTGATATCTGAACCTTGTACATAATTTTTAAAAGTGTCAGGCCCGTATATGACACTATCAAGCAAAATAATTGCAGTTGCTTATTTTATTCATCATTATTAAATGGTGCTGTGTCTCTTGACTTTCGCAACTGTGCTGTGTGCTCCAGCTACATGTGGCAGTCTTGGCTGCTTTGGGTGTTCTGCGGTTCTTGCAGCCAGGAGGGATGCAGACAATTTTTTTCAAGATGGCATTTGTTTACCGGAGTCTTTAGGAAAAGGATGTGAGCCCCGTGTATCCACGGGAATATAGAATCTTACAATATATTAATAAACGTGATATGCTGGTTTATGCACCCCTTTACCCCATGTTATGGTGTACAGTGGTTAATCCAAGTCATTCACTATTAACACATGTTAGTAAAATTTAGTTGTAGTCTTTCTTGTAGGCATATATTATTGAATGTGACAAATGGCGAGATCAATGATTCTAGCATGAATCCTCCTTCTCTATTTTTCTTACACTCAATTGAAAAATTAACTGAAGTTGAAGGAAGTTGAAAAATTAACTGTAAAGTTAATTTTAACTATTTTGTTTGGCCTGACACTAAGAGATGCATTTCATTCATTCTTGTTAAAATTATCGAATCCAGAGTTCGAATTGTTTCAAAGCTGTTGTTTTAGATTCAGCTCCTCACAACAAAAAGTTGCAAATACTATGGGCTATGGTGAGCCCGTAAGTGGACTTACCTGGCACAGGAGCGGGGCAAGTAGCACGGGCTACGGTGAGCCCGTAGTGGACTTACCTGGCACAGGAGCGGGGCAAGTAGCACGGGCTATGGTGAGCCCGTAAGTGGACTTACCTGGCACAGGAGCGGGGCAAGTAGCACGGGCTATGGTGAGCCCGTAGTGGACTTACCTGGCACAGGAGCGGGGCAAGTAGCACGGGCTATGGTGAGCCCGTAGTGGACTTACCTGGCACAGGAGCGAAGCTGTAGTGTGTTGATAGATGACTGGGTTGTTTGGTGTATAATGCCTCACCAATGTCCAGTCTTGTGAAGTGTTGCTGTATCTGTCAATTATTTTGGTGTTGTTTTAAGGATATCTCTGGTGGCGATCTGGTTATGTAAAGAGACTGTATGTACCTTGATAGGGCTTGCTGTTGTGCATTGTTTGGTGCCTCAAAAGAAATGATGTTGTCTTGTCTTTATATTGAGTTTGTTGCGACTGACAGTCCCCGAGTGGACGTGTGCAGGCAAAGACGACATTCGTCTCATTCAAGTGTCACGAGAGTTTTCCATGAGCAAGTCGGCAGTCTTCTTGCTTTTATAGTGTACTGTTAGTTGAATCATCTGGTTGGTGTCATTGTGGGTCACATTTCTATCAGTAATGTTCTTCAGGAACCTCTCTTCTGTTTGTGGCCCTTGGAGAAGAGGTTCCTTTAGAATGTTTTAATAGGAGAGACTGGTAATGTATTGTTGGGGGGTTTCATCAAAGGTAGCATGGCGGCTCGCCTTTCTTTTGATGATTTCCTCTACATGTGTTTGAGTAGCCATTATTGATCAGGACCTGCTTCACTCTGCCAATTTCCTTGTCTGCCGGCCTCCAACTGGAGCTGTGTGTATTGGCATGGGTATTGAGAACATTATGCTTATAGCGATCAGGGCACTCACTTTTAGAATTAAGGCACATTTCTATGTTGGTTGCTATAATGTAGACTGCTGTGTTCAAGCCACCATTCCTTTCCGAAATTGTTACATCTAGGAAAGGTAGTCTGCCTCCGCTTTCAATTTTGTCAGTGAACCTTAGCACTGAATTTCATTTGAGTGCATCCTTAAGCCGCAGCAAGTGCTCAGTATCGGGTACCTGTGGGAATATGTTGTCTACATATCCACAGTATCTGTTCTATGGTACTTATATAAAAATTAGCAAATGGGACACCAAGGTGGCAACCCATACCAACATCGTCAGTGTAAGGGCACAAGCTTGTTTTTACTCTTCCTTACCTATGGGAAGGGGGGATAAAAATATAACAATATGGGAATTAGTAAGCCCTCTTCAGAGAATGGCAGTACCCAGTGTTATCCCAGGTTTTTCCAGACATGTCTTATACAGAACTCATTTGTTATATGGCAAATTAAAGACATTTACATTGGGTTAAGGGGCGTTTGTAAATAATAGCTTCTGAAATTACACGGGGGGGGTATATTTTTATATACTGTACTAAGAGGTTTAACTTTTCTGATAATTACAGGACAAGATTGCAAGGAGATATGACCTGGCCAACGTTCAATATTCAGACATATTCCTTGGGAAACCTCCCAAGTTCCAAGAAACACGGTGCAAGAAAATGCCCGTCAACTTGAATCCTGAAAAAGAGGTAAAGAAGCTGGCTGCTGAGAAAAGGCGGCGAGAAAGGAAGGAAGCTCGCGAGAAGAATCCAGACTTGGACATAAAGAAGCGAGGTCGGCCGTCAATGACAGACGAGAAGGAGGCACGCAAAAAAATGTATGTTCTGTTGTTTTAGTTGGCTGGTTAATTTCGTTACAAAAAATTTGATTTTCCCACCCCCATGAGTTACTCCATGATAGATATTTCTATATGAAAATTACATACTAGAGATGTAAGAAATCTAATCATAGTTGTCTTTCATGTTTTGGTGAAATGGCTCCTGAAGCATCTCTTATTGTATGTAATGCAATCAGTCAATAAATCAGTAACTTTATTCATATATATCTGTTAATGTACATGTATGGTTGGATTAGTTTATATAAATTTATTACTATAGGTATCTTTTTCATTACATTACCCCCCTTTGTATTTTTACTCTTCCATACTCTGTTGCTCCCCTGGTATATTATTTCTCCCCTTGTTACCTCTCTTCTCCCCTTGTTACCTCTCCTCTCCCCTTGTTACCTCTCCTCTCCCCTTGTTACCTCTCCTCTCCCCTTGTTACCTCTCCTCTCCCCTTGTTACCTCTCCTCTCCCCTTGTTACCTCTCCTCTCTCCTTGTTACCTCTCCTCTCCCCTTGTTACCTCTCCTCTCCCCTTGTTACCTCTCCTCTCCCCTTGTTACCTCTCCTCTCCCCTTGTTACCTCTCCTCTCCCCTTGTTACCTCTCCTCTCCCCTTGTTACCTCTCCTCTCCCCTTGTTACCTCTCCTCCCCTTGTTACCTCTCCTCTCCCCTTGTTACCTCTCCTCTCCCCTTGTTACCTCTCCTCTCCCCTTGTTACCTCTCCTCTCCCCTTGTTACCTCTCCCCTTGTTACCTCTCCTCTCCCCTTGTTACCTCTCCTCTCCCCTTGTTACCTCTCCTCTCCCCTTGTTACCTCTCCTCTCCCCTTGTTACCTCTCCTCTCCCCTTGTTACCTCTCCTCTCCCCTTGTTACCTCTCCTCTCCCCTTGTTACCTCTCCTCTCCCCTTGTTACCTCTCCTCTCCTCTCCTTAATTTTATCTTTTGACATTATTAATTAGCATCAAGAAGCACGAAAATACAAGTCAAAAGTGTCTACCTCTTATGATTTAGCTGTATTGGTCTACCTCTTATGATTTAGCTGTATTGGTCTACCTCTTATGATTTAGCTGTATTGGTCTACCTCTTATGATTTAGCTGTATTGGTCTACCTCTTATGATTTAGCTGTATTGGTCTACCTCTTATGATTTAGCTGTATTGGTCTACCTCTTATGATTTAGCTGTATTGGTCTACCTCTTATGATTTAGCTGTATTGGTCTACCTCTTATGATTTAGCTGTATTGGTCTACCTCTTATGATTTAGCTGTATTGGTCTACCTCTTATGATTTAGCTGTATTGGCCCAGAGAGGTTGGTTTTGCTGCGGTCTACTCTTAGGCTCTTGATACCTGCTTGATGGGGTTCTGGGAGTCCTTCTACTGCCCGAGGCCAGGCTTGACTTGAGAGCTTGGTCCACCAGGCTGTTGCTTGGAATTGCCCGCAGGCCCACATATCCACTACAGCCCAGTTGGTCCGGTACTCCTTGGAGAAAACTTATCTAGTTTTCTCTTGAAGATGTCCACGGTTGTTGCAGCAATATTTCTTATGCTCGCTGGGAGGATGTTGATCAACCGTGGACCTCTGATGTTTATACAGTGTTCTCTGATTGTGCCTATGGCACCTCTGCTCTTCACTGGACCTCTGATGTTTATACAGTGTTCTCTGATTGTGCCTATGGCACCTCTGCTCTTCACTGGACCTCTGATGTTTATACAGTGTTCTCTGATTGTGCCTATGGCACCTCTGCTCTTCACTGGACCTCTGATGTTTATACAGTGTTCTCTGATTGTGCCTATGGCACCTCTGCTCTTCACTGGACCTCTGATGTTTATACAGTGTTCTCTGATTGTGCCTATGGCACCTCTGCTCTTCACTGGACCTCTGATGTTTATACAGTGTTCTCTGATTGTGCCTATGGCACCTCTACTCTTCACTGGACCTCTGATGTTTATACAGTGTTCTCTGATTGTGCCTATGGCACCTCTGTTTTTTACTGGTTCTATTCTACATTTTCTTTCATATCGTTCACTCCAGTATGTTGTTATTTTACTGTGTAGATTTGGTGCCTGGCCTTCCAGTATCGTCCACGTGTATATTATTTAGTATCTCTCCCGTTTTCTTTCTAGTGAATACATTTGGAGGGCTTTGAGACGATCCCAATAATTTAGGTGCTTTATTTCGTCTATGTATGTCGTATATATGTTCTCTGCATTCCCGCTATTTCAGCAATCTCTCCTGCTCTGAAGTGGGAAGTGAGTACTGAGCAGTACTCAAGATGGGGCAGTACAAGTGATTTGTATAGTACAACCATTGTGATGGGATCCCTGGATTTGAAAATGCTCGTAATCCATCTGATCATTTTTCTGGCTGACGCAATATTTGCTTGGTTATGCTCCCTAAATGTTAGGTCGTTAGACATCATTATTCCCAAATCCTTTACATCTGCTTTCCTACTATGGGCACATTTGATTGTGTTTTGTACCCTGTATTATGTTAAAGATCCTCATTTTTACCGTACCTGAGTACCTAGAATTTATCACTGTTAAAATCATGTTATTTTCTGTTGCCCAGTCAAAATCTTTATTAACACTTTCGCGCTCTCCGCAAAGGTCACTCAGCCAACCGAATGTGCGCGCTGCGTTTTTATCGCTTAAGCGTAAAAACACAAATGTGTATACTCTTTTTACTCTTCTGACCTTAGTTCTCATGCTACGTATTTCATTTTGGTACCAATGTGTTCGCAATAAAATTCTCTAGAAGAACATTAGTAAAATAAGTTACGAAACATATAGGGATACCAGCACCAAATAAATAACTACGTAGATGACTCGCCGTGAGCGCCCATCAGCAACAAAATGTTTTTACTCTTGGGTTTGCAATCACCTCCACACTTGTTCTACAGCGTTAATTTTGGTATCAATGGACTCGCAATGAAATTCCCAACACGGTGATATGAATATAAGCGTAGAATAATGATGCAGCCCGCCCGCAAGAGTGTGGGAAGTGGTGAAATTGTTACCCGGTATCGGTGACGGGACGACGCACGGCGCTTTGAAAGTTTATACTTATTTCACTCTCATGACATTAATTTTCTATGTACGTCATTCATTTTTATGTCAATGTGTTCGCAATAGAATGTTCTATGTGCCCATAGGTAAAAAATATCAACAAAGCGTAAGTTAGAATAGCGACAAATATAAAACAACGCTGGAACATATCAGTGACCGTCAAACACACACGAAATATTTTTACTTTTGTTATGTTTGTCAAGATTATACTTGTTGCACACAGTTATTTTTGGTTGTATATTGATCGGAATAAAATTCCCTAAACAGACATATGCATATAATACATGATATGGGGGAAGAATTACCAGTATAAACGGCTAAAGTCACCCACCTGCAACCCGTTTGGGACAAAATACCATTTGATCGAAGTTATCCACACCTTTCATGAACTTATTGTACCATGCAGCCTAGTGGTGAGAAAGAGAGCCTCATAGCGCGCAGTTTGAAACAAACCCAAAGTAAATCGGATAAAAATTGAATTTTATACAAATATTTTAAAAGTAGACATAACTTTATGTCCACTATGCGTTTACGTTAGACGAAACCGAACGCGCCGGCGCGTCCAGATAGTGCGAAAGTGTTAATATCTGCTTGAACTTTTTCAATGTCTTCAGCAGAGGTAATTCTCATGCTGATTTTTGTATCATCTGCAAAGGATGATACAAAGCTGTGACTTGTATTTTTGTCTATATTTGATATGAGAATAAGGAAAAGCAGTGGTGCAAGGACTGTATCCTGAGGTATAGAGCTTTTAACTGCACTCGGACTCGATTTTATATGGTTGACTGTTACTCTTTGTGTTTGGTTTGACAGAAAACTGAGTATCCAATGTCCTACTTTACCGGTTATTCCCACTGACCTCATTTTGTGTGCTATCACTCCATGGTCACATTTATCGAATGCCTTTGCGAAGTCCGTGTATACCACATCTGCATTCTGTTTTTCTTTTAATGCCTCAGTGACTTTGTCGTAATGGTCAAGTAACTGTGAGAGGCACGATCTTCCCGCTTGAAATCCATGTTGGCCTGGGTTGTGGAGGCCATTGGTCTCCATGAAACTTGTGACCTGACTAATAATCACTCTCTCAAATACTTATATTATGTGGGATGTTAGTGCAACTGGTCTATAATTCTTTACCAATGCTTTGCTCCCTCCCTTGTGTAGAGGGGCAATGTCTGCTACTTTTAAGTGCATCTGGTATCTTCCCCGTGTCCAAGCTCTTTCTCCACACTATACTGAGTGCCTGTGCTACTGGCACCTTGCATTTCTTTATAAATATTGAATTCCATGAATCTGGACCCGGAGCTGAGTGCATGGGCATGTTTTCAATTTCTCTTTCAAAACCTGCTACGCTCGTGTTGATATCAGTTATCACAACTTGACCACAAATATATGGCTTTGGCGCAGTTTTCTTCATGTCCTTTGGTGATATCCGGGCTTGAGGGGTCTTGGAGTTCTAACAGGAATTTGGTGGCCTGGTATTTAATCAATGTTCCGGGTCCCAGTCTATCATGTGTTTTCCTCGAGGTGTGTCCCCTGGCCTGGTTTCGCTTCTATGTCTTCATTCCTGCTGCTTCTTCTCCTCCTCCTCCCCCCTGGTAAGGTTAATTTTTATTCCCTGTAGTAAGTTAGCTTCAGGGAGTCACCAAGTTCCCTTAGAAGCCTAGCATTGAAAGTAATAAAGGGACTTTCTGGTAGAGCTCCCGTGGCTTCCTGATTTCCTCCAGGGTCGTTGGCTTGTCAGTGTGTTGTTCATTAGCTCCAGAACTACCTTCAATAGCCAGTGGTAGGTTATCTTGAGGTTATCTTGAGATGATTTCGGGGCTTTAGTGTCCCCGCGGCCCGGTCCTCGACCAGGCCTCCACCCCCAGGAAGCAGCCCGTGACAGCTGACTAACACCCAGGTACCTATTTACTGCTAGGTAACAGGGGCATTCAGGGTGAAAGAAACTTTGCCCATTTGTTTCTGCCTCGTGTGGGAATCGAACCCGCGCCACAGAATTACGAGTCCTGCGCGCTATCCACCAGGCTACGAGGCCCCTCGTAGGCAGGTAGGCAGGCAGTGGTAGGCAGGAGCTGAGCCACCTGGTGTTGGGGTATGATAATAATGAGTTTCGAGCTAGTTTGAGTAAATCCTTTGTTTTGTTCGTATCACTTTCTTCGTTGTTTAGTGGTTTCGAAGATTCGTTTTCTGTAAACTCCTCCAGTTGTCTGTAAAGCTTTGCTGTATGCTCTCCTTGTGGGGAGGCAAATTGTCATTCTCTGTGACTGAGTGGGAGGGGGGGGAGGGGACAGGCTCTTGCTCTGGTCCCTCGTAGGTCAAACAGAACCTCTACGACTGATGTGACCTTTTACATGGAGAAATCTTAACAGGTTAGCTTGGAGGCGCCACTAAGATTCTACCGAAAAGACGCGTTTCATTACATTGAGCACTAGGTATTTGATGTTGGAAGTTAAGTTTTGTTATCAGTTTTTTTGTGGAATATATGTATAGGGATCAGTCATGGATAGAGGCTATATTAAATTTATTTCATAATATTTAAATGAAAACATTGCAGGATTAAGGAAGGAAAGACTGTGCTGACGCTAGAACAGAAAGAGAAACTTAAAGAGGAATTTAAGCTGAAGCTGGTAAAAGAGAAAGAAGAAAAAAAGAAACAGAGAGAGATTGTGAAGGAGCAGAAGCGTCTTTGTGTACAGTACATGAAGGAGTGGAAGCGTGTGCGGGATGATTTGGACTGTGATGACCACAAGGTGAGTATAAAGCCATATTGTATGCAGCACACTCTGTTTATTACCTATATGTGGTTGTCGGTAAGAATAGTTAGCTCTATGGGTGCAACACTTAATGCAATTATACTTTTGATTACCTTCAAATGCCGTATCTACTTTTGAAGCTGTGGATTGGATTGGCCTCTCAGTTCATTCTATTTTTCAAATATGAAGATGGAGAAAGTTCAGAGGTATGCCACTAGACTTGTCCCAAAACTAAGAGTCATGTTCTTAGTTCTGGGACAGTAATGGTAATAAGAGTCCTTATTACCATTACTATTACTAATGGTAATAAGGATACTAAAAATAATAAGATTTGAACTACAGCAAGTATTTTGCACTCTCCTGAGTGTAGTATTAAGGTCTGCATTTATGGTTAGGATGAAACTGCATCTCAATGACTAATATGGTGGCAACCCAGGATTCGAATCCTGTTAACCTTCTTACTTGACCGTGTCGCCTCCATTTACCACTGCTGATGTTTCTGCGGGGATGTCTTGCAGGGAATTATGATCAGTTGTCCTTCCTGTCATTCTAGGATTCAAAGAACTGAAGTTGCTATTATTAAACGTATTCGTCCAAACCACATACAGTACTCAGACCTTGATAGTGCACTCAGGAGAGTATGAAAGACGATGTAGTTCAAATCTCTCCATAAAATACACAAATTCATAAGTGTGGGTTTTTATCCTGTATTATTATGTCTGTGATAAGACATTACTGTACCATTACTAAATAATAATAATAATAATAATATTAATAACAAAAAACCTGGACCATCTTCAGTAGAGGGGCCAATATTGTACTATATTAAACAAATCCACAAGGGCCGTGACGAGGATTCGAACCTGCGTCCGGGAGCATCCCAGACACTGCCTTAATCGACTGAGCTATGACAGGGTTAAAAGGGTTGAAAACGAAGTTCTACTGAACTTACTGGATCCCGTAGCCTCTCCGAGGCACAAACCAGGCTTTTACACAACCCCCCCCCCTGCACCCGAGCTATGTCAATAGGCCGTTCTCCCTCTTCGCCCTTACATCATCACACACACAGATCACCCTAACGTGATGCATCAAATGAACAAATATTCATATTTGTTCATTTGATGTATCACGTTAGTGTGATCTCTGTGTGATGATGTACTATATTTTCCTGTTTCTATAAATTTGTTACTTCTTTTCTCCTACAGGACTTGCCAAAGCCTGCCCCTGTCCAATGTCGCATTCCAGATGAAATGTTCGGCAGCTTTGTGATGGTTTTGGAGTTCATCAATGTTTTCTCTGAGCTGGTGGAGCTTAAGGATGTATACCCACAAGGCATCACCTTTGATGTGCTGGAACATGCATTAGTTGAAAAGCAAGTGGCAGGTGAGATTAATTTATATTCAGTACTCGGTATTCCTGTAAATTGTGTTTTCTTGGGTAAATCTCCTCTTGTTTAATGTTTTTGTCTTTGTAATACTGACTATTTTTCCAGTCCTGTGCCTCTTCATAGGCACATGCTTGATGCTTGTAAGGAAACCATTGTCATGGCCTCAAGGCACTTGCTTAACTGTACACTTATATTGGATGTTTACAGTCTCATGTCTTTATAACTGCTATAAATTGTACAAAGTAGTTTGTGACACTTATTCTGTAACATCCAGACGTACTGTGTTGGCATTCATAGTGCAGCCTGTTCTAAGGTTTCCCAAAGTAAAGAAAACGGTCAATTTTAAGTGTCCTCTCCTAACCTATCAAACTAAGTCAGAGGGCCCAAAACAGAAAATGGGACAGTACATCACTTTCCCGAGCCACTTCCATTTTCTAGTACAAAATTTTTTTGCCCTGTGTAATGCATACGAGCGAGAGGCGAGGTTCTCTGTAGGAGGATAGGTTGCACAGTGACTGTGTGTTTCTTGTGTGAGAACTTAGTCTGTCTGACCTTACATTACTTAGGCATTATGTCTGGCTTTTCTGGGTACTGTATGTCATTATTTGTATGTTAAAACCATGCTGCCCAATAAGATGTGAGGTTTCTTATATATCTTCGGCAGCTTTGTTTAGTTAGCTTAAATATATGACCTCTGGTTCTTGAAGTTCCAGGTCCTGGGAATTCTTTCTTATCAATTTTGTTGATTCCCATTACTATTTTGTACATGGGGATCATATTGCCTCTTTTATTTTCTATCCTTTAGTTTTGGTATATTAACACTTTGGCTGCGCTGGTTCTGGCCTGGCGCACCATTTATAGGTTGCCATGGCATGCGCATGCATCACCTATAAGTTGCCTTGGCACATACACGCTCCGCCCAGCAAAGGTCAAAGTCGGCCGGGCGTTGTCCTTGAACTCTCTGTCACACTTCAATGTTTCTCTTTTTCCAGTTTTCTGACCTTACGTTTCGTCATAAGGTGTGTCATACTCAAGCTGCATCGTTCATTTTAGTATCAAATTGTTGGCAATAGAATAGCGTTCCAAGACCCCATAATAATCTGACAGTAAATGGAATTTTTACAACTATTTTATTTGTGGATGCCGTTAATGTTCTCTGCCGAACTACGTGTATTGATTTAAGGACTGCGATAACGGTATCCCGAAACCAAAGTGTTAATGCTTCTTAACCTCTCCTTGTTTGTCTTTCAGTTCTGGAAGTCATTCAGTTGCATGTCTTTGAACCTTTTCCAGTTTGTTGATGTGTTTTTTAAGATATGGGCACCATACAATCACAACATAATCAGACATTGGTCTCAAAAATGTTGTGAACAATTTCTTTAGTATTTCACCATCCCATGTATTTAAAAGCAGTTCTGCAATTGGAAAGCATAGCATAGGCTCCTTGCACAATGTTCTTGATATGATCCTCAGGTGACAGTTTTCTAGTTAGAACCCTCCCTAATCACTTTCTTTATCAGAATTGTTTAAAGCTTTTTCACAAAATTTGTAAGTTGTATGTGGTCTATTTTTCTCCTATTCCACATTCATAATATAGCATTTATTCACATTAAATTCAACTTGCCAAGTTGTGCTCCATACACTCTTTCCAGGTCTTCTTGAAGGGCATGAAAATCTTCTAAGTTTATCTTCCCTAGCATCTTAGCATCATCAGCAAACATTTTATATACAGTAATTCTGTATTCCTTCTGGTAGGTTATTGATGTAGACAGTGAACATTACCGGCCCAAGAACTGAACCCTGGAGTACTCCACTCGTGGCATTTCTCTAGTCCGATAGTTTCTCTGATTACTGCCCTCATTTTTCTGTTGTTAGAAAACTTTTCATCCATGTTAGAAGCCTCCCTGACACTCAACACATGTTCCAGTTTCCAGAACAACCTCTTTGTGGGGACTCTTGTTAATAAGTATTTTTAGGTCCAGATAAATGTAGTCAATCCAATCATCTCTTTCTTGTAAAATCTCTGTGGCTCTATTGTAGAAACTTAAGTAAATTCATTACACAGGATCTTCCGGTTTGAAAATCATACTGTTCTGTTATTATATAATTTTTCTCCAGGAATTCTATGCATTTGGTTTTAATTATTTTTTCTAATATTGGAATAATATTACATGCAGGTCCATAACCAAGAGGGTCTTCCTTGCTGCTACTTTTGTTGAGTAGAACAGTGTTAGCCTTTTCCAATTTATCTGCTAGGACTCCTGTACACAGGGATGGCTGAAAAATCAATTGAAGTGGAATGCTGGGCTCTGGTGCACATTCTCTTAGAACCCATGGTGAAACTCCATGTGGGCCAACTGTTTTGTTCCTACCTACTTACGGGCTACTCATGCCCGTGTCACCTCTTGGGTGGTTTAATCTTCATTAATCTGTTCCTACTTAGTTCCTTGAGCAATTTTTCCACTTCATCTCTTAGACACCTCTATGTGCTCTATGTTGTCCTCTGGAATTCTTATTGTATCAGGTTCTCTGAAGATTTAATTTTGCACGAAGACACTTTGAAATTGTTCATTTAATGTTTCACATATTTACTTCATTTTCTGTGAATCTGTTTCCCAGTGTAAGGGTTACTAAGATTGGAGCAATATAAGGATTAAAAAGATTGGAGCTGTGCAAATGTTAATCCTCAGAACCTATTTTTTATACAATATGTTCAGAACATCTTTTTGTATTGTCTGTGAACATAAAATGCGTGTTTGGCACCCCAAAAATATATGTCTGCTTAGTAAATTAAGCAACATATCGCAATTGAAAATGTTTTGTGGATTTTCATATCTTATTGTATTTACTGGGCAGGTGTGTTCAATGATCTGATGCAGCTCCTGCTGCAGACCATTTTCATGCTGCAGGAGGAGGAAGATGACGAGGTGGAGGCTGATAACACTGCAGAAGAAGGTATGTCACTTAGGTCATCTTGAAGTTATCTTGAGATGATTTCGGGGCTTTAGTGTCCCCGCGGCCCGGTCCTCGACCAGGCCTCCACCCCCAGGAAGCAGCCCGTGACAGCTGACTAACTCCCAGGTACCTATTTACTGCTAGGTAACAGGGGCATTCAGGGTGAAAGAAACTTTGCCCATTTGTTTCTGCCTCGTGCGGGAATCGAACCCGCGCCACAGAATTAAGAGTTCTGCGCGCTATCCACCAGGCTACGAGGCCCCCCCTATTCATGTGTATTGAATGTGAAATCTGTGTTATGAGGTATGATTACACAAGATTTTCCTGCATATTGTTTTTGGGGTCTAAGGTGGGATTACAGATGATCCACCTGCATATTATGTTTGGGTATAAAAGGGGGATTACAGGACACCTACTTCCATATAGAGTTGGCAGTGTAAGTGGGATTACAGGAGACTCGCTTGTATATTGTCTTGGGTATAAGGTTGGATTACAGAGACCCACCTGCATACTGTGTCTTGGGTATGAGGTGGGATTACAAGACACCCACCTGCATACTGTGGCTTGGGTATAAGATGGGATTACAGAGACCCACCTGCATTCTGTGTCTTGGGTATAAGATGGGATTACAGAGACCTACCTGCATACTGTGTCTTAGGTATAAGGTGGGATTACAAGACACCCACCTGCATATTGTGACTTGGGTATAAGATGGGATTACAGGAGACTAGCCTTCCTGCTCTCATATGTATCGGGCATGAAGTTAGCTAAAATTTAATGCATGTGTGCATTCTTGTTGGGTATATTGCAAAGAGAGGAGACCCAACTCTTATGTTTTTGTTTTCTCATGATAAACACTTATATATTTCCCTATATTCTCCAAATTTTACATTTATATTCTCTAGGATTATAGGGCATAAAAATTACATTGGCTGCTCATGCTTTCAAAGGGTTGCCAGATTCATTATTTAATAACTAGTAAAGATTAATGAAGGCTCGTGTGTGTATGTACTTGGGTGTAAGGTGTGCTTCAGTGTAACCTTCATATGTATTACTGTACTATATTCCATGTTCCTTGTTGACGGAGAATTAAAGCAGTAGGTTGGCTTAAAGTTTTGCAGTTCTGGGATACTTTAATATATATATAAGCCCAAGTGGTTGGCCCTTCAAAAAAACCAGCATTGAATATAATGAAAAGTCAATTTCTGGGTGAGCTCCGGAGGCTCCCCAAACCTTTTGCACTAATTCAGTGCCATACTACTAGCTGCTGTCCATCACAGAGTTCTTAGTGGCCAATCAGGGACCATGAACCAAAACCTGGTTCACTCAGAGAGAGGTGCAGGGAGCAGTGGCACTATGAACACCTTACCTTTAAAGTTCATATCTGCCACCACCAGGCAAGGGCACCCAGAAGGTCAGCGAAACATAACACACCACTGCATGGTTAAAAAGTTTTGGTTGTTTACATTGTGGGGAAGTTCTTCTGGCAATATTAGGGCTTCAGTCTCGTTTAAAAAAAAAGCAGTACAGGCTGTAATCAGTTTTGATTTGTTTATCTTCCTGGGTGCTTCCCTGGTTACCTTGAGGTTACCTTGTGAGGATTTCGGGGCTCAACGTCCCCCGCGACCAGGTCCCTAACGAGGCCTCCTGGTTGCTGGACTGATCAACTAGGCTGTTGGATGCAGTTGCTTGCAACCTGACATGTGAATCACAGCCAGGTTGATCAGGTAGTGGTGATTGATGTCTGATATTGCCTGTCTTTCCCCCTCACCCCTACCCAATCACTTTGGGGATGGACAATAGAGCGACGGTCTTGCTTCATGCAGGTCAACATTCAATTCCCGATCTTTCATCTAGTTAGGTACCATTCCAATTTCCCCTGCATCCCATGCCAAATCTTTATCCTGACCCCTTCTAAGGGCTATATAGTCATAATGGCTTGGTGCTTTCCCCTGATAGTTCCATCACCCACACATACACGAGGCAGGACCAAAGAGTCAAAGCTCAACCCCCACAAGCACAACTAGGGATTAATTGAAATTAATTATCCTGTAATTGAGTACAACTACAGGATACAGTCTCCGTGGTGTAGTGGTAAGACACTCGCCTGGCGTTCCACGAGCGCTATGTCATGGGTTCGTATCCTGGCCGGGGAGGATTTACTGGGCGCAATTCCTTAACTGTAGCCTCTGTTTAACGCAACAGTAAAATGTGTACGTACTTGGATGAAAAAACGATTCTTCACGGCAGGGATCGTATTCCAGGGACCTGCCCGAAACGCTACGCGTACTAGTGGCTGTACAAGAATGTAACAACTCTTGTATATATCTCAAAAAAAAAAAAAAAAAAAAAAACTAGGTGAGAACACACACCCTCCTTGTCTTCCCCCACTCCCTCCCTATCTCCTCTCCCACACATACCCTTCCCATTTCCCCCATGCACACCCTTTCTGTTGCCACTCATGCACATACCTTCCCTGTCCTCCCCAACACACCCTGTCTCCTTCCACACACACCTGAACATACTTTTTGCAAGTCGGTATCTGAATATGAACACTAATATTTATACATGCTAAACTCTATAGACTTTGGGTTGCAAATTTCGTGTGCATCAACTTCACGAAGGCGGTATTATTAATTGTGCCGAGGTTAATGAGGCTAGCTCTAAGGGTCTGGCTTCCAACCTCACACTGACGACCTCTTTCTACAGATACTGTATAGATAAAGATGGGATGCTCTTCGTAAGTTTTAGGTCATTTTTCCTGTGCTTGTAGTGCTTTTTCTCTGGTACCATGTCAATTTTTTCTCGAATTCAGAATAAGTATACAGTACTCAGAAGTGTTATTGGTATTTTACTTGTCTTGTGGTACCAGATTCATGTGGTAGTACAAGATACGGAAGGTATTACACACAGAAATCACAATAAAGTGATGCATCAAATGAACAAATCCACAAAGGGCCGGGATGAGGATTCGAACTTATGTCCGAGAGGATCGCACAGTTGATAAAGGCGCATCTGGGATCCTCTCGAACGTAGGTTCGAGCCCTCGTCACGGCCCTTGTGGATTTGTTCATTTATGGAAGGAAATATGGAAGACTGTTGTTGCTTAATATATGTACGTAATAGTCTTTTCTAGACAGGTAGCCCATTATATTCCCTTACCTTTTGCTTATATAATTGGAAAACAGATCAGTTGTCATGATAAGAAATGCATGTTTTATAGTTGTTGCCGAAATACAGTATAATGTGAAATTTTGAAAAATATTTATTTCCTTATGTTGTAGTAATGGAAGTGGATACGAGTGACATCTCTATTCAGGAGGCAGTGCGGGTAGCCAACAGAGCGTCCACCTGGAGCCAACAGTATCATGGACTGCCACTTCAAAAGATGCCACTGGATGCCCTAACGGTCACGGAGATTTTGCGTTTGCATCTTCTGGCATCAGGGGCCACCAGTGTTGCCAATGGACGGTGGAGGTAAATGTTGATGTATGTTTTATACAAATAATTATGTTTGACGTATGTCTTATACAAATAATTATGTTTGACGTGTTAACAATTTGACGTATGAATTACGGCCCAGTTGATCAGGTATCCTTTGGAAATGTTCATCAGTTACTCTTTTGAATACCACAAGAGGTAGGCTAGTTATTCTCCTTATGTTTAGTGGAAATGTTTAGAAAAATTTTGGGCCCTTGATGTTGATAGAATTTTCTCTCAGTATACCTATTGCACCTCTACTTTTCAACAGGGCTGTTTGGCATTGCACGTTATTTCTCCTGGTCTCACGTGTGACCCAAGTGTAATTACAGGATGAGAGCAATGCTCGTGTTGTCCTGTTTTCACGGCACTCTGTCATATAACGCTTCTACTGATGGTTTTGGTCTCTACCACCACTTCACTTATCTTGTTCCAACCATCTACCACTGTTTGCAAAAGTGAATTTTCTTATACTTTACTGTATTTCTTTAGCAGTTTTGTTTAGTTAGCTTAAATCTATGACCTCTTGCAGGCGATGAGTCACAATAACGTGGCTAAAGTATGTTGACCAGACCACACACTAGAAGGTGAAGGGACGACGACGTTTTGGTCCGTCCTGGACCATTCTCAAGTCAATTGTGAGGTCTATGACCTCTTGTTATTGAAGTTTTAGGTCTCAGAAATTCTTCCTTGATCAATTTTGTTGATTCCCGTTACTATTTTGTATGCAGTGATCAAATCGCCTCCTTTTCTTCTATCTTTTAGTTTTGACATATTTAATGCCTCTAACCTGTAAGCAGCAGCCAACAGCCTGGTTGACCTGACCATCAACCAGGAGCCCAGATTAGAGACCGGGCCTCAGGGATGTTGATCCCCAAAATCAACACAAGGCAACGTCTCCTTGTAGCTCTTTGTCTTTCAGTTCCGGAAGCCATTTAGTTACATGTCTTTGCACCTTTCCAGTTTGTTGATGTACTTCTTTAGATATGGCCACCACACAGTCACTGCATATTCCAACTTTGATCTCACAAAAATCTCACAGGCCATTTTCTCTCACTTTTTTTTTCTCTCATTTTTGTGTCCGGGGTTTTAGAGTTTGGACAGGGTCCTGGCTGCCTGTTGTTAATGTTGCAGGACCCTCAGCGGTCTTTTGAGGGTCTTTTGAGTTGTGCGGTACAGCCTCTTCCTGCGTACATCCTTTTTTTCCTGTTCTTTGGGTAGTTAGTTCCCAGGAGCTGACGGGGCTCCCCACAGACAACCAGCATTGAATGTAATGAAACACCATTTTCTGGGTAGAACCCCTGGAGGCTCCCTGGCACCCTCTCTTTCCCTGGTCGGCGGGTTTTATTTCTGTTTTCAGTCTCCAAATTGACAGTCCGGCTGCTGGCTTGGTGAGCCGGGACTCCCCTCTTCCCTTCTTGTGGTGGTCAGCGCGAATGAGTGTCGCGCGGCATGATGTGTTGCTTGTTAACTTGTTTTTCTTTTGGGGAGTTTCTAGCTTGTGTCTGGTTTAAGGTTGCAATTTTTCTACTAGGATGGGTCTGTTTTGAAGCACCTACCTTTCTGGGTGCCCAACCCTGGTCAATGGGACACACGAATACTTTCAGACATGAGAGTTTCATAGGCCATTGCTCCCTGCGCCTCTCTGAGGGGATCATGTTCTGGCTAGTGGTCTCTGGTAGGCATGACAACTCCATATGATTAAAACCCCATACTAACATTAGCTAATATCAGTCCAATAGCTCCAGTGAGCCTCCAGAGCTCCACCCAGAAAATGATGTCTCATTACATTCAACGCTGGTTTTTTTAAAGCTTTTTCACAAAATTTGTAGGTTGTGTGTGGTATATATTTTTAGGGCCTAGAAATGACGACATTTTTGTCTACCCTGAACCATTATCAAGTCGTATGGGGTGTCGATCAAGTCGAGCACATACGACTTGATAATGGTCCAGGGCAGACCGAAACGTCGTCGTTTCGTCATCTTCTGGTGTGTGGTTTGGTCGTCACAAATTAGGTGTTTGTCTTGGCAATTTATGGCACTGACAGTGCCACATGTTTGGGATTTTTCTATTGTATTCAAAAAGTAAATGACAATCGCTGGTTTTTTTTTCAATGTGTTGCCATACCCGTGTGTTCAGTATGGAAAAAAGACCTTTCACTTTAGTTTACACGCTGTGTCCAATAACTCAATGTATTGACATATAATGACAAAAAACAGTGATATCTAAATGAATACCTAATTATTGTAAATTGCAATGCAATATCTCTCATATCTCATCCTTGTCAACTGATGTAACCCTTCTCATTTTTTATTCTCTAAGCTCTGTATGTTAAATTTAATGGTGTTACCGGCAAAATGCCACTTTCAAAAAAAGGTTGATTCGCATTTTAGCTTTTCATCACATTTTGTGCTCTCTTCTCGGCAAACAATTTTTAGGTGGGGTTATCTTATTTTGCCAAATTAAATATAAGTGAATAAAAATTGAATCTAGTTACAATAAAATAATGAATATGAGGGGAGGTGAACAGTTAGCAAAGAAATGTAATACCTTCATTTGACAGGCACTTCAATCGTGGAGGCTTCAAGAACTGGGATGATCCAGGACTGCAGTTCAAGCTAGAGGAGCCAATCATCATAAAGTCCCTGGCCACCCAGACCATATATGACCTTTCCCTTGGTATGTACCACTCGCATACAGTTTTCTCCAATCCCAAGAACTACATCAAGTTCTAATCAATCATTGGTGCCTACTGGAGGTCAGGACCAGCATATGGTCCTCTCGGTAGAAGGCAGGTTTAGGCCTTCACCTCCCTACTTTTTGCAGTAGGGGAGTGGGCATACTAAATCATCTATAGTACTGAAAGGCAAACCTCTAGGATGGTAGAGTGCACGTAACTGTTGGAACAAAATTTGCAACCCTAAATCACACTATGTACACTTCTCAATTTCCAACTGGTCGTTAGCTTCATGCCCTTGCTACCGGGTGCCTGTTCCACTAACCGATGGGTCGGAGATGGCTATCCCATTCATTCACACACGTAATGCACTACAGCTCTGACCCCTCCCCTCTGATTCCGACCAGCTCTGTGGGCAACACCACTCCGATTTTGAACACTATTCACTGGCATTCATGTACAGATTTTCATGGTGACCTATCGTGTCACTTGTTCGCCTCGGCTATTAGGTGGTCAGAGTTGCCTTCTCTAGTTGCTGCTGGAGTTGTTGTTGTATTTGGTCATCGTTGTCATCCCCACCCCCCACCCGGAAGAAGATCGGGTGTCTGCTTCTTTTGCCTACCTCCTCTTGGGGGCCATACTCTGGGGGCCAGAGTATGGCCCCCAATGCTTCATGTGCTTCATGAATGTATGTGCTTCAGCTCCTCATTATCTTTAATATCCACAGTAATGTTTTCCCTGGGGCTGTGGCGGCAGCTTTACTTTTCAGAGCTTTTCGTGTTACTTTTGCAGTCCTTATCTGGTGCATGTGTCCTTGAGCTGCCTATTAGGTAGTTGGGATGCTGGTTGCTGCAGGTGATAGTCATTTGCACTCCTTTCTGGCATCCCCCACCCCTTTTTGGTGAGGTGCCTGCCATCTCCATCCTTTCGCCAGGGCAGTATATAGGCCTTCAGTCTATTTTCCATGGAGCTTGACATGTTTAAGGGGGGCTACATGGGGTTTCTCCACCCCTTGGTCACAGTGTCTTGGCTGTTGCTGTTGTTGCTTTCCTTTCATGTATTTGACAGGATTCTTGGCTCTGCCCCTGGGCCCTCTTTTTTCTGTTCTGTAGAAGGGCCTTCTTCTTTCTGTACTGTAGAGGGGCCCTCTTCTATCTTTACCATAGAAGGGCCCCTCATCTTTCTGTACCGGATGTCCCGTAGGATGGAACTACGGTATATCCTCGATCTATCGGGATTGAATAGCTTCATTTCCTGTCCGACCTTCTGCATGAACAGCTCAGGTTTGCCTAATGCTATAGATGTATGGTTGGATAGTGTCCCTGGATTTCAAGGATACATATTGGCATGTCCTGATTAATCCAGGGTTCAAGGGCTAGTTAGGTGTCATTGTGGGGCATCAGGCTTACTGCCTCAAGGGTCTTCATTTGGCTTGTTTTGTGGCTGCCTCAATGACTGCTGTATAGGCTTAGCTCCTTGAGCAGTTAGATCTATGATGGTCTTTTCTGGTACCATTTTCATGAATTGGAACTGTTTGGATTCCTGTAATTAAAGATTTAATGTGTTTGGCTGCCTCAATGACTGGCTAGTTTCGGCCAACTGCTAGGCTAACGTAGCTCCTTGAGCAGTTAGATCTATGATATAGATGGTCTTTTCTGGTACCATTTTCATGAATTGGAACTGTTTGCCTTTTTTCCCACACATCTTTTAAGATTCCTGTAATTAAAGATTCCTAAAAGTTAATTGAATTTGAATTCTCAGCTCGGGGTGCACATTCCCTCAGAACCCAAGGTGAAAGACTGTCTGGGCCAACTGCTTTATTTCTATCGAGCTCCTTGAGCATTTTGTTTGCATCTCTAGAGACCTCTATGTACTCGGTTGTTCTCTGACATCTGTATTGTGTTTGGTTCTCAGAAAATCTCATTTGGCATAAACACACTTTAGAAATGTTCATTTAGTGTTTCACACATTTTCTTTTCTTTCTCTGTGAATCTGTTTCCCATTTTCAACCTTTGCATTTTATACTTTATATGCAACTTGCTTTTATTGAGTTTAAAGGATAGGCCTGATCCTGTTTTGCATTTGTCCACTATCTCTTTCTGAAAATTTCTTTCCGCCTCTCTTCTCACTGCCGTGTAGTTGTTAACTTGTTTTGTAAATTTTTTCCAATGTGACTTATACCGTATTTTGTTAATCTAAATGTTTTATATTTTCACACACAAAAAAAATTACAGTGCACAGCAAATTGGCAACTCGTGATTATTGCAAGATTATTTAGAACTAAATATAATAAAATTGATTTCAAATAAAATTCAAAATGCAACTAATAATCAGGGTTTTAACCCTTAGACAGCAGCTATGGAGAAATGGTCATACCCGTCTATGCACAAAATATAAAAAAAAAATAATTCAAAAAATTTTTGTTATAGGATTATTAATTTGTATGCAAAACGTAAGAAAGTACGAAAATAAGTGAATATTTATCGTTTCACTGAGTGAAGGCGCTTGGCAAGGCTGCCTCTGGCACTTGTCAACAAGGCTGCCCCTGGCACTTGTCAACAAGGCTGCCCCTGGCACTTGTCAACAAGGCTGCCCCTGGCACTTGTCAACAAGGCTGCCCCTGGCACTTGTCAACAAGGCTGCCCCTGGCACTTGTCAACAAGGCTGCCTCTGGCACTTGTCAACAAGGCTGCCCCTGGCACTTGTCAACAAGGCTGCCCCTGGCACTTGTCAACAAGGCTGCCTCAGGCACTTGTCAACAAGGCTGCCCCTGGCACTTGTCAACAAGGCTGCCCCTGGCACTTGTCAACAAGGCTGCCTCAGGCACTTGTCAACAAGGCTGCCTCTGGCACTTGTCAACAAGGCTACCTCTGGCACTTGTCAACAAGGCTGCCTCAGGCACTTGTCAACACCCTGTGCTCGACTTTACTAATGCTTCCTGTTTTATCCTCTGTTGTTTCACTGATTGTTAACACTTTATTTTAATTATTTGCATCCACAGAGAGCTATTATATCCATATTTGCATCATACATGTAAAACCCCAGACAAAATTGTTTAAATCGTCATATGACGATGACCGCATTCCCCTAGTAACATTCATGTCAATAACTGCAATCATACCATGCAATGGTAGCAGGATTTGTTTCATTGGTTAAGGTAAACTCAATTACATTTACATAGACCTATTATATCCATATTTGCATCATATGGATGCACATTTTACATGTATTTTACATCATACATGTAAAGACTCCGTCTGGACCAACTGCTTTATTTACATCATACATGTAAAACCCAGTCATTAATTGTTTCAATCTTCAATGTAGGGGCCTCGTAGCCTGGTGGATAGCGCGCAGGACTCGTAATTCTGTGGCGCGGGTTCGATTCCCGCACGAAGCAGAAACAAATGGGCAAAGTTTCTTTCACCCTGAATGCCCCTGTTACCTAGCAGTAAATAGGTACCTGGGAGTTAGTCAGCTGTCACGGGCTGCTTCCTGGGGGTGGAGGCCTGGTCGAGGACCGGGCCGTGGGGACACTAAAGAAAAGCCCCGAAATCATCTCAAGATAACCTCAAGATAACTTCATATGATAACTGCATTACCCTGTGAATCAACAAGTGACGATGTCCACAGCCTAAGTGTTAAAGTGGCAATAGAAAGAAATGTCTAAAAAAAAAGTAACCGAATTGACTCAATCCCCTAAAGTTAAGATGCTACAGTACTGTATTGGCTTCCAGTTACTATACTGTATTGTACTTGCGTATGTTGTGTATTTTATTTTACCTTTTTGCAAAAAACATAACGTGGGTGAAACTTTTTACTTTATTTCAGCCCATAAGTTGAAAATTTTGAATGTGCTGGTGGGGCAGATCCTGACTTATGCATCAGTTCGAGACACCATCGATGACAGCATAGAGAAGCTGAGGGAGATGAAGAACAAGCTGCGCCTGCATCAGTTTACCCAGATCAGGAAGGAGAAAGAGCTAAATGCTGCCAGGTATCATTTTCCCCACTTCTCAATTTTTATGCAATATTCTACATGGATGATTCTCACTTAACCCCTTGCACTGCACATAGCGCCTTAAAGCGCTCGACCAGTGGTGCGCACAACACCTTAAGGCATTTTTAGGTAAAGGGAGCGATTCAAAATTCCTGCGGATACATGGAGCTCACATCCTGTGCCTTAGGACTCTAGAAAGTAGATGCCATCTTAAAAAAAAAAATGTCTGCATTCCTCCTGGCTGTGAGAGCCTCTGTACTGAGAGAGCGCCCGTGGCTGGCGCATGTAGCAGGTGCTCAAAGCACCACTTAATAATGCTGAATCAAATATGTAACTGCATTTATTTTTCAATGATAGTCTCATAGATGATCCTGACTGTGATAAGACTATGTACAATGTTCAAATATCAGTGAATACCCCATCAACCAGGTATCAAGCAGGATAGGCTGGTGGTTTTTGGGGAAATATTATTAAAGTTACTGTTAAAGCTAAAAAGTTAGGAAATGAAACTTTCAGTAACAGCAGCACTTTTTAATCACAGGAAACTTAAAAGTTTAATTTTTTTGCATGATCTGTCAGTAGCCCAACTGTAGTTTATGCACACATTTTAGTGTTTTCCGGTTGCAATCTTATTTTAGCAATACAATACAGTATACTATACAGCCTATACACACACTTACTAGTCAGTAATCATTTGTCATGGTATTTTAAAATATTGTACTTATTTATGTTAATGGATTTGTGTATGGTAAACATTGACACATGTCATCCAATACCCTGACAGCAAAGCTGCATAATTGTTACTTTTTTACTTGATGAAGTGATGGTCAACTTGGTCACTGTATATTAAGCTCTGGATTTTCTATGTATGTTGATGTTTACCTGGAGAAGGTCTCGAGAGTTCTTTTACTCCCCAAACCCAGCATAAAGCCACTCTCGACTGTGAGTAGATAGGATAGGATGGATTCCATCCCTCGACTGGAATGAAGTCATGAGGGGGGGAGGGGCTGATGTTTATTTAGCTTATTATAAGAGAAAATGGTGTTGAAAGTATAACAGATAGGTGTTCCATTCACCTGGGCTGTATGGGGCGCGAACTGTGGACCCCACGAGTGTGAGGCCGAGGCTCTATCGACTGGGCTATGAGTAGTCTTAACACTTTCGCGCTCTCGGCGCTCAAAAAAAAAAATACCCCAGATGCTTTCGGCACTTCGCGCGCCTACGCGGTAAGACCGAAAAAGTGCACACTCTTTTGACTGTCCTGACAATAATTGAAGGCGCACGTATTTAAATTTGGTATCACTGTGTTTGCAATGAAATTGTCTATAAGAGCATACCTATAAAATGCCGCCCAAGCATAAGGAGTATCAACACCAAATAAAAAACTATGCAGATCACTCGCCGAGAGCGCCAAACAGCAACAAAATGTTTCCACTCTCTTAATGGTTGCGAAGCCTACAGTTGTCCTACATCGCTAATTTTGGTATCATTGGAATCGCAATAAAATTCTCTACCTTGTCTCTACAAGGTAGAGATATGTCTCTACACGGACATATGCATATGAATGTTTAATATAGGTAATTGCCCACCCGCAAGAGTGTGTGAAGTGGAGAGTAGTTAGCCGCGAGCGCACTGGCGAAAACACAATCATGCTTGGAAAGTTTATACATTTATACGTTTCCTGACCCTACTTTTCTATGTACGTATTTCTTTTTTATACCAATGTGTTCGCAATAAAATTTTCTATCAGATGAACTGTATAACATTTGTACAAAGCATGTGTAAGAGAAGCGCCAAATATAGAACCACGTCGCTCAGTATGCGTTCGCGGCAGAAACGAACGCATTGTTTTCGTTCGTTTGATGTTTGTCATGTTTATACTTGTTGAAACATTTTATAATTTGTATGACAGTGATCGCAGTAAAATTCCCTACACAGACATATACATAACACATACAAATATTTCCCACGTGTTGGATATATCAACGGCTAAAGGAAACCCACTGCCACACGCTCGCCACACCCCCAAACATACTTTGTGTATTTTTTTTTTTACTCATAGAAGTTTATGTGATATAATATTCATTCTGGTACCAAAAAATTCGCAAATAAATTCTCTACAAAACAAAAGTATCCCCATCCATTTCGGTTAAAAAATGGAATTTATAGAAATATTTTTTCGATTGACGAGAAAAGTAGGCAGTTATGCGGAATCGTAAGAAAAACCAGTGACGAGTTATCTCTAATCGAAAGCGCGAAAGTGTTAAAAAGGAAAATTAAAGCAGTAGTCTTAAAAAGAAAAGCAGCAGCATCCTGCTGCCGAGATTCGAGACCCCGTACAGTCCAGGTGAATGGAATGTTTATTTCCACAGAAGAGTGGATGACGATTTATATAACAGATAGGGGGGTTGATAAGATAAATAATGGGTAGGTTCTGACCTAAAATGGTTGTTGGAACATGGCTTGAAGCCCAAATTGTAGCTCTGATGTTTTCCGTACATGAGAGTCAAGGAAGGAGTGGAATAGCAGTTGTATCCAAAAAATTTGTGTATTCCAGGCTGCAGGAGAAGCGTGAACGTAAGCAGAAGGAGCGCGAGCGTCTTGTTAAAGAGGCTGAAAAGAAAGCTGCAGCAGCTGCCATGACAGGAGAAGCTGACAAACCTATTGAACTGGATGAGGATGAAGAGGAGGAGGAGGAGGAGGAAGAGGACGAGATTGAGAAGGCTGCTCGTGAGGAGAAGGAGGAGAAAAACAAGGCGGCTAGAAAACAAGACTTCTTAAAACGGGAGAGAGAGCTAATGCAGCAGGTTGGACATGTTTGAGTTGGTTCCTCTATCAGCTCACTTCCATATTTGTCAGTTCCAATTGTCTTCTATACACCTCTCACACCCTCCCTTCTGGCCTTCCTTCCCTCCACTCCTTTCCTTTTCCTCTTAAGTTTTAATTCATTAAATCATTTCCCTTGATTTAAGTTTTTAAAATTTCAAGGTTTTTTTCTGGCCCTAGTATCCATGCCAAATTCCTCATCTTGTTGAGAGGCAAAACCACCAAAACATTGCTGAGCATCTTCATAGTATACAGTCTCTTAGTGGTACAACCTGGTCCATGGGGTGGACGAGTTAGGTGGTATTAGGAGGAAGTGCCATGTTTACGTGTTATGTTGTCATCGTGTGAGGTTAAGGAGACAATACTGGGGTGGGCAGGGGCATTATCAAGCACTAGCAAGCCTAAACTTCACTTGGCCACAATACTGGGGTGGGCAGGGGCATTATCAAGCACTAGCAAGCCTAAACTTCACTTGGCCACAATACTGGGGTGGGCAGGGGCATTATCAAGCACTAGCAAAGCCTAAACTTCACTTGGCCACAATACTGGGGTGGGCAGGGGCATTATCAAGCACTAGCAAAGCCCAAACTTCACTTGGCCACAATACTGGGGTGGGCAGGGGCATTATCAAGCACTAGCAAAGCCTAAACTTCACTTGGCCACAATACTGGGGTGGGCAGGGGCATTATCAAGCACTAGCAAAGCCCAAACTTCACTTGGCCACAATACTGGGGTGGGCAGGGGCATTATCAAGCACTAGCAAAGCCCAAACTTCACTTGGCCACAATACTGGGGTGGGCAGGGGCATTATCAAGCAATAGCAAAGCCCAAACTTCACTTGGCCACAATACTGGGGTGGGCAGGGGCATTATCAAGCACTAGCAAAGCCCAAACTTCACTTGGCCACAATACTGGGGTGGGCAGGGGCATTATCAAGCACTAGCAAAGCCCAAACTTCACTTGGCCACAATACTGGGGTGGGCAGGGGCATTATCAAGCACTAGCAAAGCCCAAACTTCATTTGGCCACAATACTGGGGTGGGCAGGGGCATTATCAAGCACTAGCAAAGCCCAAACTTCACTTGGCTACAATACTGGGGTGGGCAGGGGCATTATCAAGCACTAGCATAGCCCAAACTTCACTTGGCCTCGCTTTGTGTTTCTTGATTTGAGAGTTACGAATTTCCTTGCAGAAACCAAGAAAGAAAGAAATGTTGTAACAAGCCTCACTCAATTGCAGCTGTGCAGTTGAGTGTGGCTTCTTAAGCCACTCTTCACATCAAAGGATAGTAGATAGATTAAATGTCATCCACTATGGAATAACCCCTATGGTTCTATTGAACCAGTGTGGGTCACCTTATCTTGAGGTTATCTTGAGATGATTTCGGGGCTTTAGTGTCCCTGCGGCCCGGTCCTCGACCAGGCCTTTACCCCCCAGTAAGCAGCCCGTGACAGCTGACTAACACCCAGGTACCTATTTTACTGATAGGTAACAGGGGCATAGGATGAAAGAAACTCTGCCCATTGTTTCTCGCTGGCGCCCGGGATGGAACCCGGGACCACAGGATCACAAGTCCAGCGTGCTGTCCGTTCGGCCGACCGGCACCTTTGGTTTAGCTGTTGTGGAGTTGTCAAGATTTTGGATCAAAGCCATAATTATACTCATAGTTAATCAGTCCACACCTTTGAGATGTACCAGGGCTTCATGGATTGTATACATCTTCCTTTCTTTAAAAGAATTTTTTTTTTTAATTTTACAGTGTTTCCAAACTACAAACATTTGTTTTGTGGACCTTTCATATCGTGTATTTTCATTTGCATTTGTTTTTACAATTTTAAAACCGTTTATCACTTTTTTCAAGCATTATGGCACCATTTGTATAAGAGATAATTGTATTATGGACCTTTGGTTTGGCTTCTGTTTCCTCCTATGCAAATATATTTATGTAAAACATTTTAATTAATAAAACACTTACTTTCAGGTACTTAATATGGCTCAGGGCATCAACTGGATACCTCTAGGCCAGGACAGAGCGTATCGTCGATATTGGTTGTTCAGCTCCCTTCCTGGGTTGTTCGTGGAAGACTATGAGCTATACCCAGGAGTGTGTCGACTGACTCCAACGCCCTATAATCCCCAGTCCAACCCCGAGCTGACAGAGGGTCTTGAAGAGCTCTTCAAGATTCAAGCAGAGAAGAACTTGACAGAAATAATGACTGAAAAGGAGGACAAGAATAATAGTGACAAAGAAAATGAAGCAAGCGAGAGCCCTGCCAAACAGGCTAAATGCACTCCCAGTAAAACATTGCTACAGACACCCAATCACATTCGACCCTCCAATCTGGTTAAGAATGAGAAATCTCCGGCGATATTATCTTCGACCACCACTGGTGCAGAGTCTGAGTTAAAGATGGATGTAAATAAGCCAGTAGTAGTGAATGGGGAAGTAAAGTTTGAGCTGGCAAAGGTTAAAGAAGACCCGGTGAACAGTAGTGAACCTTTGCCAGACATATTTGGCTTGTGTACCGCCGACCCCATAAACTGTCCAGTGCACTGTAACAGAACTAATCGACACAAATGGTTCTTTTTTCATCAAATAAGGGACTTGGATTGTCTTATTTTATCTCTTAATAACCGTGGTAGCCGAGAAAAAGAACTGAAGGACACTTTAGAATGCTATAGGACTACCATTGAAACTTCCATGAAGTCCTGTCCAATATACAAACTTGACCCATCTCTGGTAGGTACTAATATATGGTTTATATTGTCAGAGTTGTGGTGCGCAAGTTAAATATATGAACTGTTGGCAAGACTAGTCATGTGCCATTGATGAAATAAATGTCATGGGGTGATCTTTTGAAAGATTATGGTGGTAGTTGAACTATTGACAGACAGAGATATGTGGTAGATAAGTTCTCTGTTAAAGCCGTTCTTAACCTTTTCATGATAACACCTTCCCTTGCCAGTGGATTACCCAATGTCTCGGGTACCCCCCTTCTCCCCTCCTTTGCCAGTGTCAAAATAATCACCATCAGACATTATATATATGGGTGTGACGGTACTAATATGACTTTTAAAGATATCAATGGCTTAGTTTCACTTAGTTTTGGGATAGTTGGGAAGAGAACAGTTTAAAGAAAGTCATAAGAATTTTATTAGATTTATTTATTGAAAAGGCAAATAAAGTTGTTTGAAGGACTGACCTTAACTGACCTTGTCTGGTTGGCATCTGAGTCCAAAAATGCAAAAATGAAAACGCGTTCAATTTCAATCAAACTTTTTTGACAAGTTCTATATGAAAAGTGTTTCATTTGGTCCAAGTTTCAGCATCGTAGCATAAATAGGAAGGGAGAAAAGAAATATTAAAGTATTTGTGAAAATTATGCAAAAATGGTCAAAATCGATTATCAATCAAAAGTGTAAACTGAAATCATAACTATGACTCTTTGCTATCACAATAGCATATATTAAACAAATATTATAATTACTTTAATTGGAAAAAAAAATTAAGAAAAAAAAAGGATTTTTTTTTTTTTTTAATATTGTTTTTTTGTTATTTTTTTTTTGGCGATTTGCATCAAACTTACACACCTGACTGTACGTAAGCCTATCTGTAAGGATGCCAATTTTGGAGAAAATTGGTTGATGTCAACCCCAGCCACAGATTTTAGAACCTTAGACTTTATTCATTTCTGTTTTTTTTTCAATTGACACAAACGTTTACAAAACTGATTCCTTTTTTATTCAATTTACATAAACTAACACAGTATATGTGGAGGGCATGTCTCTACATTGGGGGGCTTTCATTTTTCTCTAAGTTCATTTATTGATTTTATAATAGCAATAAACATGCCATATTTGCAAAAAAAATTTGGGGAACTTTGAACATTTGTATTAGGAAAACTAAAGATGTTTTGGAAATTCTAAATCCCCAAATCCTTTATTATATGCTAATGTGGCAGAAAAGTGTCACAGAATAATTATATCTGAAACGTGTGTTCTGAAGTGTGGACTTGAAAATGTGTAAAAAACGTTGAAAAAAAGAAAAAAAAAACTCCCTTTCTATTTACGCTGCAGTACTGAAACTTGGGACAATTTAAGCACTTTTCATATACAACTAGAAAATTAATATTGGTTGACATTGAACAACTTTCACTATAATAACCAGGCGCCCCCTTAAATGGATACTAGTTCAAAAATTGATAATTGTTTGTAGCAAAAAGGGAAGGTGTTCATAAGGGCTGAATGATGGGAGCAATTTAACTACGACCACTACAACTACGACAGGGGGCTTCGTAGCCTGGTGGATAGCGTGCAGGACTCGTAATTCTGTGGCGCGGGTTCGATTCCCGCACGAGGCAGAAACAAATGGGCAAAAGTTTCTTTCACCCTGAACGCCCCTGTTACCTAGCAGTAAATAGGTACCTGGGAGTTAGTCAGCTGTCACGGGCTGCTTCCTGGGGGTGGAGGCCTGGTCGAGGATCGGGCCGCGGGGACACTAAAGCCCCGAAAGCATCTCAAGATAACCTCAAGATAACCACGCCAGCACATTGACTGGGAAGTGGGAAGATGTCCGTGTTGAGTGATCTGATCGCTGATTGGTCTGTGGTCTCGCGGCCTCAATTTTGTTTTTTATAATGATTGTTAATTATAGTCTAACAACTTTTATGGAGGAGCTTTTTGGTGGCTCCTTGAAGCTATGTGGCTCAGATGGCTTCCTCCCTACATAGTTACATCAGCTATAGGACTCCTTTTGGCATATTGGGGACCACAACGAGAACCTGGTCCCCTCACACTGGCACAGAATAGCATCCAGAAAGTAAATAAAGCGGTACAACAATTACAAGGTTCACATAGCATGAAGCGCTGAAATAGCCGAGTCACTCTAATTCAAATGGTTCACTCAACTAGCTTGAAACACCTAATGTACAAAGCCACTAATAGATGGCGACTTGAGAGCTCCTGGCTTCAGACCCAGCAATGATTCAGTCCTGTCGCTGATGTCGGAGCATTCTGACTTTTTCTGAGCCATCAGGCCATGACGTTGTCCTGTGTGGGCCACTTGCTTGTAGTTCATTCCTAACCTTTAGTATTTGCTGCACGTGCATGACTTGGTTTTATATGTGCTATAAGCTTCATATGTTTAGGGCAGCCCTACACTGGGTACTCCTTTAGCATTGCTCGTGCCCTGACAAGAGTGCCTTCTCTCATGTGTTTGGGAAAGTGACCCCGAGGGGCGAGGCCACCGGGATGGAGAGCTTTGCCCTGAGTAGTGCACTGGTAACTTACTCTGTGGGACTGGCTAGGGGGCTTTTTATTTTTGTTGTGGAGTGCAATAGGGGTCGGGCACTTTTTCATATAGAATGCAGCAGATACCCTTCATTGCAAAGTTAATCCTGTTGGCTGCATTTGATGTCTGCTCTTCTGGTGAACGTCCCTAATGCCTGCATCTCCTGCTTTATTACACTCCTTCAGGCCCTGGTAACTCTCCTACTGGTCTGTAGTGTGGCTCATAATGGATTGGCCCATCGAGCCTGTATTCACTGCGTGAGAATTTGGTGGGTGCATGTTGGCCGTGCTACATGCAGACAGTCATTCTGTCTCCACTGTGCTCCTTATTTGGTCAATGCCACCTTTATCCCAAAGTCCTGTGATGGTTACTCTCATTAAGTGTGTGTCTTCTCTGAGCCTGCCTTGTCTGACAGCTGCCAGCTTGTGCTTTTTTTTTTTTTTTTTTTTCCTGAATTCATGGTTTGTAGCTTAGAATTTGATTGGTTGCCCTAGAGTTGATCACTAGCTTTCCTCGGTATGGGAGAACATTTTTCGGTTCTCCCTGCTGGATCAGGCGCATGCTTTCTTTGTGGAATAGCTCCTTCGAGTTTGGGTCTGCTTCCGCCTTTTGGCATCAGTATGAGGCCCCTCATTTGTCCTAGCTTGCTGCCAATCGATTCCTTTCCTTGGGGACTTGGAAATGTTTGAGTCGTATCTGAACGCTTGATTGGCAGGAAGTGTGATGCAGCACACTGCATCATTAGGCACGGTGAGGTGCTGACCCGCCACTCATCCGCCTAGTAACATCACAAAACTAGTAGTCACTAGCCACAGCACAACCACTAGTATTGGAGGCCTGGTTACTACATCCAGAAAATGAGTCGTCTTGACTATGTCCATGGGGAAGAGGAACAACAGGTGACATGGCCGTGGCAATGGTGTAGATCAGGGCCACAGTGGCGGAGGTGGCCTAGCCTAGGAGACACTTTTTTTTTTTTTTTTTTTTGAGATATATACAAGAGTTGTTACATTCTTGTACAGCCACTAGTACGCGTAGCGTTTCGGGCAAGTCCTTAATTCTATGGTCCCTGGAATACGATCCCCTGCCGCGAAGAATCGTTTTTTCATCCAAGTACACATTTTACTGTTGCGTTAAACAGAGGCTGCAGTTAAGGAATTGCGCCCAGTAAATTCTCCTCCCCGGCCAGGATACGAACCCATGACATAGCGCTCGCGGAACGCCAGGCGAGTGTCTTACCACTACACCACGGAGACATTGATTTATCAATTTGGTTGATGATAGGGAAAAGTTTCTGAGAGTTGGTACTTCAAAAACAAGAGGTCAGAGATTTAAGCTAACTAAACAAACTGCTGAATAAATATAAAAAATGTCATTTTCACAGAGTGGTAGACAGTTGGAACAATTTAAGTGAGGTGGTGGTGTAGGCCAAAACCGTAAGTACTTTCAAAGCATTATATGTCAGTGTGCTGGAGAGACAGAACACCACGAGCATAGCTCTCATCCTGTAACTACACTTAGGTAATTACTTATTAGGTAATTACTTAAGTAATTATTATTAGGCTATGATATATTGAATCCCAGGTCACATTACTTTTGTAGCATGTCTTGGTCTAGTGGTTTAGGGCATGTGCTTAGGAGAATCCAGTGTGCGGGTTCAAATCCTGATGCTCCTACTGATTTTTCTGAATTTGTATTGATGTTTTGCAGGAGCCAGAGATTGACCAAGCCACCCGAAAATCTCAAAGAAATGCAATAAGCAGGAAAGATGAAGATGCCAACTTAAACTTTCCACCAGGGACACCTATGGATGAAATCTTGCAGTGCACACTTCGCGACATGATCCTCGAGACGGAGGAGAAAATACACCTGGGGATGCTGGGTTCTCTTCGACTGGAGGATCGTGATGCCTGGAGACAAACCATTACTGACGGCATTTACCACCTGGGGTCTGAACTAGACTTTGGTGGTCGCAAGCGTATTTCTCAGTTTAAGGTAAGCAATCACTCTATGACAGTGATTAGAAATTATACTGGCACTATGCTATGTTTGCATTCTACATGTCTATGTACGTCGTAAATAAAATATCTTATTTTACCGCGGTACATTACTGTATCTGCGGTGGGACATCGTCATTTTTGTCCATCTGCCCAATCTACTACTTTTTTATTGTATATATTTGCAGAATTCTTGCAGTGGAATGTAAAGCAAAGTGAATGTTACAATTTTTTTTTAAAGTGGAATGTAAAATGAAATGTTTCCTCCTCAAGAGGTGCTTTCATGGTCACTCATTCAAAGCTGGTTTTCTGGAAGGTCTCCTATGGTAGTTCCCTGTTGCTGTTTCACCACAGATAGAAAAATAATAAGGGTAACTCACCAGGGGCAGAGAAGAGCAGTAGTTAATAACCCCCATCAGAGGGAGAATCGGTGACAAATCACTAGCTTGTTGCCTTCTTTTGATATATTACTCACATGCTCCTGTGCTTCAAATGTGTTCTAGATGTCTCATTTCAAGGATAATTGAAGATTTCTCTTTCAGGCAGAACTTGGCTTGGAAGTAAATGAAGAGCAAGATGTTGAGGATCTTCTAGTTGAGGCAACTGAGGCTGCACTTGTGAGGAACCTGGCTCAAGCCATTCTGCAACTTGGACAGTCCATAGACACCAAGTACTTAAGGTCACCTCTAGGTATGATGGTATGACTTCATCCCATGACTTCCAGCTTGTATGGAGTAAAATTATTCTTACTTAGTTATATTTTAGACACAATGTTTCTAACTTTTCCAACATGTTAATTAGGTACCTATTGTATTGCCACACTACTAAATATCCATTTCTTGGACTGTCTTTATATTAAATAAACACGTGGAAAACTTCCAGAATATGTGTAGTTTGGCCAGACTGTAGACTACAGCCAGCTTGACCAGCAGTAGTCTGTAATGCACTCTGTACTACTACAGTACTACTACATCCTCCCCAGCATTTTATTATTGCCTGAACTGAGGGAAGAGAGGTTCACATCGGTCCAGAGCTCTGTGAAAGTGGATGCTTCAAGTAGCACAGCTTTTTGGTTCTTTGTTTTCTGTTCGGTTACCTTGCGATGATTTTGGGGCTCAACTTCCCTGCAGCCCGGTCCCTGACCAGGCCTCCTCGTTGCTGGACTGGTCAACCAGGCTGTTAGACATGGCTGCTCGAAGCTTGATGTATAAATCACAGTCTGGTTGATAAGGTATCCTTTGGATGTGTTTATCCAGTCCTTTCTTGAACACTGCAAGGGGTCGGCCAGTTATGCCCCTTGTGTGTAGTGGAAGCGTGTTGAACAGTCTCGGGCCTCTGATGTTGATAGTTCTCTCTTGAACACTGTGAGGGGGTCGGCCAGTTATGTCCCTTATGTGTAGTGGAAGCGTGTTGAACAGTCTCGGGCCTCTGATGTTGATAGTTCTCTCTTGAACACTGTGAGGGGTCGGCCAGTTATGTCCCTTATGTGTAGTGGAAGCGTGTTGAACAGTCTCGGGCCTCTTTAATATATAGACCTACTCCTCCACTTGAGCAAACTCTGTCACATCTATATAGATTATAATTTGGGATCCAGATTTCACTATCCATGTAATCTTTCCTATGGGTTTCTGTAAATGCACCAAATATTGAGTTCGATTCTATTAGGAGGCCATTTATGAACTTTATTTCTTGATTTTGACTTTGGGCCTTGCATGTTTGCAAATATGAATGATTTTCCATATTGCTTGTCACTTCTGGTAGGCTTTGGTAGTTCTCCCCCCTCTCCACCCTGATCCAGGGTGTGCTTTTTGATAGTCGTTCATCCAGTGTTGGTAGTAGTGCGGGTGTTGTGTGGGGTAGTACCTGTGCGCTTGTTGATGACTTGTATTCCAGTCTTGTGGATATTTTCCTCTCTCTTTGTACTCCAGCAATGATTCTATCTGCCTGTTCCTCTCTTATGTGTTCTACTCTGTTTCTGTCTGCCTCTAACAAACAAATTTCAATAATATCAGCTTGGTCTTCCTGTCTTTAATGCTGTCTACCTCATGCGTTGAATTCCGGGCACTGATGATTGTAACATTTGTTTTCATTAATTTAAAATATGCACAGTTTATGGTGGAAGTATCTGCACTTTATTCCAAAATATCATGTACTCATCCCCAACATTAGGCAACCCTTTAATTTTGTTTACAAACATCTGCACTGCTGTAATTCTTGTAGTTTAGGTTAAGAATTCTTCATGGAACAGTGTTTAGCATAGCATAGTTCTACCCAATAGAATATGTACATTTAAAATGAGAGTAAAGTATTACACTTTGTTTACAGGGGAGACAGATAAAGCTCGGAAGGCGCGTGAGCAAGCAGAAGAAAAGTTGAGGCGTAAGAGTAGAAAGCGTGCGAAGGATGAGGATGGAGGAGCAGCGTCCGATAAAGATTCTGACGAGGAGGAAGATGGCAGTAGAGTGTCAGACGTGGTGACGGACAATGCTCTCAGAACTCCAATCGAAAGATGGGAGAAATCCCTGATGGCCAGCACGAGCCTCTCTCAGGTCAGCTGAAGTAGGCTTTTATTTGTATAGGAAATTCCACAAAACTAAAATTGCTTCACATTGTGGCATAAAATATCAGTTAAATTTAATGTTTTCCCGTAATAAAACGAGAAGGTTTCTTTGCCTTCTCCCGTACCTGCACTTTCTCGCAATCTCTCGCTCTCACCATCTTTGCTCTCGTCATCTCCCCCTCTCCCCATCTCTTCCATCTCTCCCTCTCCCCATCTCTTCCCATCTCTCCCTCTATATCCATGATTCCTTCTCTTATTATTCTCTTTTTACTCCTCCTTTCCTCTGCTTTTTCTCTTTCTACTATTTCTCCTCTTCCCTTTTCTTGTACTTCCCCTCTTCTACTTCTTTCTTCTACTTCCTCCTTTTTCCTCTTATTCTACCCCATCTTCTTTCTTATTCTGTATTTTCTTTGCTTCTCACCTTTCTGCTTCACTTTCTTCATCATCATCTTTTGTATAATGCAAAATTAAATGGTGTCTTGTTTCTTTTCCAGTTGTGTTTGCATTTTGCCACACTAGAGAACTCGATAACGTGGTCTCGCTCGGCTCTCAACGCTCGGTGTCGTATCTGTAAACGTAAGGCTGATGCAGAAAACATGCTGCTGTGTGATGGCTGTGATAGAGGACATCATATCTATTGTTTAAAACCAAAATTAAAGGTATGTATATGTACCCATTTCCTTTCTTCTGCACTGCACAAGCATTCCACAAGGCGTTCCACGTGTGTGTGAAGAAAAAATTCACACATTAACTCATTATTTCTGAAATGCCTCTTAAATTTTTCCTATAAAAAAAATAAAATTGTCTTCCTATAATGTTAATGTATGTCCTTATCAAAAAATTTCTTGAAAAATCATGTCAATTACTTTAGGTGTAGTGAATCAACGATTAATTGCTGGCGGAGCAAACTCGAGGCCAACAATGATGAGAAAGGTTATGTAGGGAAATTGAAATGAATGGTTCGCCCTCTTGCGCTTCGCTCTGTTAACGGTGCAGTGAGGAGGGTATTTGGCTTGATTGCCTGCACCTGCTCTCGTTCTTTGTGGGTCTTCCGGGTAGTTTGTGTCTGCCTTTGTTGGAGTTGCTCCGTTCTCCCTCCTAGGGGAAGGGGGGTTCGTGTGTCCGCGGGCAAGCTTCGATCCTGCTCTCCGTCAGGTCTTTGCAGGTTGGGTGGCGTCTCTGGTGGGGTTCCCGCCTTTTTGCAGATCTGATCTTTTTGATTTCATGTGACTGACTCTGTATACAGTATTCATTGCCCCCTTCTTCCAGTTGACTACCCTTACCCAGGTTTATCTTGTTCTCAAGCTGGGCACCTGGGTGATTCCCCAGACTTTGGGATGTTATTGACACTTCCATATTTTGTCTAGAATGTAGGATTTAATTAGAATGAGGGTTGGGCTTTCCTGTTTCCGCGTTCTTCCTTTTTATCTCTACACACTCTCCTTGCACGTTACATGCTTAATTTGGATCATGGTGACCTATCCTTGGTTTTTGGGTGTTCGAATTTTAGTCTACCTTGACCAGACCACACACTAGAAATTGAAGGGACGACGACGTTTCGGTCCGTCCTGGACCATTCTCAAGTCGATTGTCGACTTTCGACTCGAGTCGATTCACAATCGACTTGAGAATGGTCCAGGACGGACCGAAACGTCGTCGTCCCTTCAATTTCTAGTGTGTGGTCTGGTCAACATACTTCAGCCACGTTATTGTGACTCATCGCCTGCATTTAGTCTACCTTGATGACTGGCTGGTTTGGGCTCCTAGCCAGTCCGTGTGTCTGCTAGCCAGGTGTCTGATTCTTTTCCAGTTCTTCACCAGGTTTGTGCACTGGCCAACCCAGCGCAAAAACTGTGCACAAAACCCAAACCCAGGTTTGGGTTCTGGCCTATCTTGATGACTGGCTGGTTTGGGCTTCCAGTTGATCTGAAAGCCAGGTTTGTCAACTAGCCAGGAATCTGGTTCTTTCTCAGCTTGTCAGGTTTAAATTCCTGGTCAAATGGCGAAAGCCCAAGTTGATTTCATCCCTGGTTTGGGCCTGGTTGGACCTCATTTGGAACTCGCAGTTGGCATCTCTTTCCCTGCCTCCTGCCATCTGGTGTTGGAGTGGCCCTGAGTGACTCATTGGTTGGTTGAATGTGCAGGAGCCTGAAGACTATACAGGCAAGAGCTGGTATAGTCTTTTGCATTGGCAAGGTTTGACTTCTCTGATCCTGCCCCTTTTGCCATTGCCGAGACCGTTGCATTCGGACCCTGTCCACCCTGTGTCGACTCTTGCTTCGGTTGCTTTCTCTCTAGCATTTTTGGGGTTTCATTTCCTTGGTGCGACCCCCATTCCCCCATCACTCGATGTGTTCATTGTTGTTTCAGCTCTGAGTTGGGGCTTTTTGACCAGAACATATCAGGCCTTCCAGAGTTGGTATTGGGTTCGCTTCCTCAGTGATTCTTTGAATCACAGGAGTGCTTTGGTCATCCCCCTCTGGTGCTGGACACTTTGGGTAGCTCGGCTTCTGTCTTCTTGAGGTTTGGTTCACTGTGTAGTTTACATGCTTGGTGTGTATAATGTTCTCACAGATGGCTTACCTCTCTGCTCATTTCCACAGAGTGGACCGTTGATGACACATCCTTCTGTTAGCTCCGAGAGACGTTTTGTCACCCTGAGGTGGACAGCTTCGCTTTGACTTGGAAATGGCTCTTCCCCGATTGCTAGGCTCATACTGTGGATACCTTTCAGCTGAACTGATCGAGATGAGGGTTCATTTACTTCTTTTCCCAGTTCAATTGATGCTCCTGGTGCTGTCCAGGTTGAGATGTACTCGTGAAAAGTGATTCTTCTAACCCTTTGGTAGCTGGCTCAACCCTGGTTCCCTGGTGTTCGAACCCAGCTGTTTTTCCATGGCTCTGCCTCTTTCAGCAGATCGTCTCAATGGCATAACTTGCTGGTTCAACCTTCTCCTCTGATCTACACAAGTGACTCGCCTGCAGGTTGATGTCCCACCTGCATCTTTCATCGCAGTGACAGAATGAAGTTTTGTGGCGCTCGTTTTTTGCCTCTTTGTCTCTTTTCATCGTGTTTCTTGTGTGTCAGCTCCAGTGGCTCTTTCCTTCTTGTCCTGATTGTTTGTTGATTGGCATCTCGTGCCTAATACTGTCGCCTCTTATGTGGCTTTGGCGAAGCCCAATTTCATTAGCATTTGGCTTCAATACTTTCTTGGTGCTGTTTCACAACTTGTAGTTGACATGTTGACCAGACCACACACTAGAAATTGAAGGGACGACGACGTTTCGGTCCGTCCTGGACCATTCTCAAGTTGATTGTGATGAGGACAGGTAGGGACAGGCATTAAATAGGCAAGAGAGAGCTGAGGAGGAAAGTCAGGTGTAGGGGATAGTAGTAATGAGAACTTGCTTGTAGTTGACATTCTTTCATCTCTGACCATCTCATACTTCCCCTGTAGTGGCTGAGTCTCTAGATCAGGTGTTGACGTTTCTTTCTTCTCCTCGGATCACAGATGCCCCTTTGGTCTGGGATATTTTTCTTAAGGCTGTTTTTATTGGCTCTCATCTCTAAATTGAATTCATGCTCTCTTCAGCAAGTGTCATTTATGTTCCTATGTCCTGGTGACCGGTTGCTTTGTATGTAGCTGTTTCCTCCTTTTCTGGTGAAGAATGAAATTGTTAGCTTCTGGAGAGATCCTTTGGTAATTGATGTTTGGTTTGTCTTGTCGGGTGTGTACCAATTGTTGTATCCAGAAGTGGCAGTTCGTCTCTACCTGTGTGCCACCAGGTCTGCTTCAATGGGTGCGCTGTTTGTCGATACAGTTCCTGTCGATCTCATTCCATGTTCCAGGGCATGTTTGTCTCAGGTAGTCCACTGTGTCATTAAAGCTAGTCAGCCTCCGGTCTTCCCTCGGGCCTACAGTCTTTACAAGTTTGCAGCTATGGCGTCTGTTTTTGGTAATATGTCACGGGCTGTTATTTAGGCTCGGGTTTTGGAGATCTGATAGGGTCAGTGGACCTGGTCGCAGTTGGGTTTGTGTTACTGTCGGTTGATTTTTCCAGCCTGATGTGTGTCTTTTTCCTTCCTATCTGTTGTTAGTTAGCTTCAGGCAGCCACCAAAGTGCTCCCCCAGAAATCCATCATTGAATGTAACGAAACGCCCTTTCTTGAGGAGCTCTGGTGTCACCCCCCCCCTGCCGACGAAGCTGCAAAACTTGCAACTAAGAGAAGAAATGTAAACATTTACATTCCACAGAGTCTATCACAGATTAAGAAAGTAATTAGAAACAGAGCAATGCAAAAGATGTACAGTGACCACAACACAGCAGTTGCAACATCAGGCTCTGCGGGTTGGTACAAGAATTCAACCAACTACGAACCACTTAGTTTGATGAAAGGGAGCAGTAGAGCAACAGAAGTGCACTTACATCGCATCAGGCTTGGATACCCATGTGCATGGGAAATAGGCTTACAGGTTCCGGAAGATGAGAGGAAATGTCAACACTGTGGAGAAATGCCTGACAGACCACTGGAACATTATCTAACACAGTGCACAGTTACAAACCCATTAAGATTTCAACTTAGATTCAACAGAGCAGAAGAAGTTGTTAAACACATATGGTAAAATCTTACTGAAGCGACCATACGAGTCATAAATACTCATACTCCGCCCAAGTAAAACAGGAACAAGCAACATTTAGTGGGCCAGCCAGAGGCTTAGGGCCCGCTCAGGAATATCCCTGCAAAAAAAAACAAAAAAAAAAACAAAAAAAAACAACCACAACCTGCCCACCTACCAGATGCGTTGGTTCATGGCCCATCAACGACAGACTGAACATCGAGGCATTGTGTGTGGGGGTGCCAGCTTTGCAAAGCCAATAGTGGCTTGGAACATGCATTTCTAGGGTAGTTGTTTTATACCCTGTTTTGTTTTGAGTGATTCTTTTGTGGAGTCATTTGGCTGTTTTGGGGCTTTGTTTCATAAACCAAGTGGTTATTGTTTTTGTTTCCTTTCTGGATGCTTTCTTGGCAACTAGGGGGGGGGGACCAAGTTCCGTCCCTTGTTCGGTATGCCAATAAGTCACCTATGACTAATGTGGCTAATTATTGGGAAGCTGTATCTATAGCATAGTTTAAAAAGGTCATCAGGGCTTACCTAGAAAGGAGCATTTCATTATATTTAATGCCGTTTTTTTTTTCTAAACGTGTCTTGGGGACCAAGTATGTAATTTTGGCATGTGGTTTGAAGGTTAATAGTGAGCCAAGATATTTCCCAAAGGGTCAGTACAGAGTCTGCCGTGTTACAGGGCTCTAAAATTGACAGCACTTGGCCTATCCTTCCAGGCAAACTTTGTGTTTTTTCTATTAGGGTGTTGTGTTGCCTTTGCCTTTTCGACTTTGTATCAAAAAGGACGGGCTTTTGGGGGTGACTTTGTATGAAAAAGGAGGGGCTTTTGGAGGCGACTTTGTATTAAAAAGGACGGGCTTTTGGAGGCGACTTTTTATAAAAAAGGACGGGCTTTTGGAGGCGACTTTGCATTAAAAAGGACGGGCTTTTGGAGGCGACTTTTTATAAAAAAGGACGGGCTTCTGGAGGCGACTTTGTATTAAAAAGGACGGGCTTTTGGAGGCGACTTTTTATAAAAAAGGACGGGCTTTTGGAGGCGACTTTGTATTAAAAAGGACGGGCTTTTGGAGGCGACTTTTTATAAAAAAGGACGGGCTTTTGGAGGCGACTTTTTATAAAAAAGGACGGGCTTTTGGAGGCGACTTTTTATAAAAAAGGACGGGCTTTTGGAGGCGACTTTTTATAAAAAAGGACGGGCTTTTGGAGGCGACTTTTTATAAAAAAGGACGGGCTTTTGGAGGCGACTTTGTATTAAAAAGGCTCTGTGTTGGGTGCTACTCGAGCCAGACTAAGGCTTGTTTTTATTTGTTGAGTTAATTTCTATTGAATTATTTCAATAACAAGTATGATGGAAGGGTTGTTGCACTTTCCTTACTAGGAGATACCTTCGGGCGACTGGTTCTGTGATCGCTGTAAACCAAAGGAGAAACCAAAGAGTCCACGAAAAAATCGCCAGATTTACAAGGATGTGTCGGATGACGAGGTCGAGATGGGAGACGATTCTGATGAAGACGACGAGAGGTTTGTAGTTATTTTTTATTGTGTTTTAATGATACTGCATCTGAGAATAGTGAATGCCTCGTAGCATTAACGTTATTTTGAGGTTATCTTGAGATGATTTCGGGGCTTTAGTGTCCCCGCGGCCCGGTCCTCGACCAGGCCTCCACCCCCAGGAAGCAGCCCGTGACAGCTGACTAGCACCCAGGTACCTATTTTACTGTTAGGTAACAGGGGCATAGGGTGAAAGAAACTCTGCCCATTGTTTCTCGCCGGCGCCCGGGATCGAACCCAGGACCACAGGAGCGTGCTGTTCGCTTAGCCCACCGGCTTAATTAAATATTTAAAATATAATTTTTGAAATAAACATTGAAGTTTTTTATTACAACTAGACAATGTAGCATTTGTGGTAATTATTTTTGTAACAAAGTTTTTTACTTTATTTTTTTTTTGTCAGCATGGTCTATAACTTTTTGCATCTGCTTTATTCACTCCTTTATTGAGTGGTGCTATCACGACTGGTTTTAGTATGTTAGAGATAACACCAGTATCTAGGCTCCGTCTCCAAAAGAATGTTAAGGACCTGCGAGTGTTTTTTTTTTCTGGGGGTAACCCCTTGTGGCGCCCTAAAGCTACTATACTGATGTATACTGATGTAGTGTCAGACTACAAGGTGCCATCGAACCTGGCATCCTCAGAGAGGTGCCAGGAGCAGTCGCTTCATGGAAAATTTTATGTAAATTTATTCATGTCAGCCACTACCAAGGGAAGGCTGTTGTAGGCTTTCTCGTTCACTGCAGTCAGGTGCCTTGAGAATTGCAGGACTTGTTTACAATTTTCAGTCCTTTCCTGAGGTTTTTGTTTTATTTGTGCTGCATTTTATTTCAGGGTTTTATTCATGCCATTTCTGCCTCTATTAGGTTTTACCTAGGGTCTTGGTGTGGATAATTCCCTTTGGTCTCTCTCTTGCCCTTTCCATTGGCATTGGGTTTCATGGATGCCTATACTACTGTATAGGAGGTACCAGCATAGCATTCCAAGTGCCTGGGCATATCTGCAGGGAACACTCACCCTGTTGACCCTGGAAAACCCTTGCAGGCATGGTGGTACCATAGATACCTCTACTGGGCCTGCTTTCGTTAGTTGTATGTTCTGCCTCCACTTTGCTGCCTGCTGCGTCGATGACACCTTCGACCCTAAGTTGTTTGGGTCCTGTTCCATGCACGTTGCTCTCCTTGCCCACCCTCCTGATGACGTTCCATTGTATCTGGACGTGACCACTTTGTGCCACTGTGTTAGCCTCGGGAGCACTGGAGGCTCTCTGAAGCTATCCGAATTGATATGTGCTATATTAGTCACAGGAGTTCTTATGCCTATCGGGAACCATGAGCTGGACTTGATGACACTGTGGACAGCCTGAGACACACAAGCCCTGGAACAGGGAACTAGGGAAAACGGATCCCCCCAAAGAGCGTCCGTCCACTGTCTTGGAAACCAGTGACCCGTAGGTAGTGGCATAAAGCCGCCACCGGACACAACATGTGATAACCCCTAATCAATCTAACCAACCAAGCATCCATAAACAACGGACCCCTCCGGAAGCCCGCCGTTTAATTTTTCGTGAGAAAAGAAGCAAGTGAACAAAAAGACTACCCATGCATCGGAGAGCATGAAGCTCTCCAACCCGACCCCCAGAGGCCAAGGCCAACAAAAACAAGGCCTTCCTAAAGCAATCCCTAACTGACAATGGGCCACAACAAAGCAAGAGAGAGAGAGAGAAAAAAAAAACATGGTCAAAAGACCAAGAAGGCTCAGGCGGCGAATGAGCAGACCGGAGGTGTAAAAATGCACGTGAAAGTTTGTGGAACTAGAGCGAAGCAACATACACCCCGAACGCAAGCTGTAGTGGCTCCACCAGTGTCGCACGGTAAGAAGCGACATTATTAGGCATGAGATGCTCATTCAGAAAAAGCCAAGAGAGAAAGGACAAAACAACCTGGTCCGAAATCGAAGAGAAAGATAGTAATGGAAAGACAGCGAAGAAACTTCATACTGTCGCTAGGAAGAAGACTGCAGGTGGGACACCGCCAAAGAAGCCACCTGATCACCATATAAATGGCGATACACACGCATTAGAAAGACCAGATGTGTAGTGCGGAGCAGTAAGGCAAACCAGCGAGGTACCTCACTGGCCTGACCTGCTGAAAGAGGCGGAGCCGCAGATAAACTGGCCAGGTTTGGACAACGAACAAGCAGCACCTGAAGCCAAGGTTTCATAGCACCACTTCACATATCTGGCACACCACAGCATCACTTCACATATATGGCATAGCACATCACCACTTCACATATCATCTGACAAGTTCTTCACACCCACTGCATCTACTGGAATAATTTTTGCATGTAACAGCATCAGTCCCTGTAACTTTCCTTTTTCAGCTAATGCATTAATGCTCTTATCATAAAAAAAATATAACCAGTCATTTTATACATTTTTACACTTAACAATTTCACCGTTCATATTTGTTATGCACTAATTGCTTCTCCAGTGTTCCCGTTATTATCTGTAATAGTAAGTACCATTGACTTTTCCCATTAGTTTCCATGTTATGATTTGTTCTAAAAGTGTTTCCTCATTTTTTGTTAAAAATTAATCTTTGTATGATATTTTGTTACTGTGGAATTATAAACATTGGTATTTTCAACTACAGTGATAGGGAGAATCAGAACCTGTGCTTTGCCTGTGAGAAGCCTGGCACACTCATCTGCTGCGACACCTGTCCCCTGGCCTTTCACCAGTCGTGTGCCGACCTGCGGAAAATTCCCCGCGGCAACTGGTCATGTCACCATTGTAATGGCAAATCATCTGCCAAAGGTAATTTTTGATTATATGTTTATGTACACAATTATTTTATAACTATTTCAAGCATTCTACTTTTTTCTATGAATACAAAAAGAATGAATAAAATACATTCTACTTTTTTCTATGAATACTGTATAGTTTTCTGGAGGGGCCACTTGATGACTACTTGTTGTTAGCTGCTCTGGATAGCTCCATGCATACATACACAAACCAGGCACTTGAAAATTAAAAATAACCTGCTGGAGGTTAAAACCTAGATCCCACAAAGAGGTGCAGAGAGCAGAGGATCTCCTGATCACCTCTCCCCAAGAAACTTGCCTCCAGTAAGGTAGAATGAAGCAAAACATATTTAAATAAATGTGGAAGCTATCCACCCAGTAGTTAGGTTGTTCACGCACTAGTAGCAGCTGTCAGGCAGCAGTGCTGGGAGCTACAGGCTTCATCCAGTAAATACCTTCAGTCAAGAGCTGACTAAAAGCAAGCCGATGCACCTAGAAGGGTATCTTGAGGTTATCTTGAGATGATTACGGGGCTTTTTTTTTTGTGTCCCCGCGGCCCGGTCCTCGACTAGGCCTTCACCCCCCAGGAAGCAGCCCGTGACAGCTGACTAACACCCAGGTACCTATTTTACTGCTAGGTAACAGGGGCATAGGGTGAAAGAAACTCTGCCCAATGTGTCTTGCCGGCGCCTGGGATCGAACCCAGGACCACAGGATCACAAGTCCAGCATGCTGTCCGCTCGGCCGACCTAGGCTAAAGGAGAGTCCACGAAGCCATCAAGTAAATAATTGTCACAAGAAGGCACCCGATCAACCAGGCTGCGAGCAGCCGCCTCCCTGTGGCTAAGGTTGACATCAACCCGTTTTCTCCAAAATTGGCACCCTTACAGATAGGCTTATGTGCAGTCAGGTGTATAAGTTTCATGCAAATCGTTTGATAAAAAAAAAAAATTGAAAATTTTTTGAAAACAAAAAAAAAATTTTTTTTTTAACATTTTTTTCTAATAAAACTAATTTTAATATATTTTTAATATATGCTATTGAGATAGCCGAGAGTCATAGATATGATTTCAGTTGACACTTGTGTTTGATAATCGTTTTTGACCATTTTGGAATAATTTTAACACCTACTTCAATATTTTTTTTCTCCCTTCCTATTTATGCTACGATGCTGAGACTTGGGCCAGATGAAACTCTTTTCATGTACAACTCGTCAAAAAAGTTTGATTGAAATCGCACCAGTTTTCGTTTAATGCATTTTAATGCATTTCATTTGGGAAATCTGGAGGTCATCCCCCTTAACTCATTGGGTGTGGCTATTAGAAAGCGGAGCACCTTAACTCATTGGGTGTGGCTATTAGAAAGCGGGGCACCTTAACTCATTGGGTGGGGCTATTAGAAAGCGGGGCACCTTAACTCATTGGGTGGGGCTATTAGAAAGCGGGGCACCTTAACTCATTGGGTGGGACTATTAGAAAGCAGGGCACCTTAACTCATTGGGTTACTCTGGGGCTCTCTGGGTTACTCTGCAGTTATTAAACCATTTATCTAAACTGTGTGTCTGAGGCTAGTGAATAAGCTTGATATTTTAGGCAGTACTGTGGTAAAAGCTATTTTATGTAATTATTATTTCCTCAGGGAAGGATAGTCCTCCAGAGAAGAAGAAGAATAGCAAGGAGAGCAGCAAGACTAATAAAGACACAAATAAGGAGAACAAAGGAAAAAAGGAGGCTAAGAATATTAAGAAAGGAAAGGAGACAAAGAATGCCAAGAATACGAAGGAGACAAAGAACGCCAAGAATACAAAGGAGGCAAAGAATACTAAGAAGACCCCGAAGAGTGCCGAAAAGAATACCAAGGCCACTAAAAGTAAAAAAAGTGCGACTCCGTCTGGGGTCAAGAGACGAAGTGAGGGGAATTCCCCTCACATCTCCAAGAAGCTCAAATTGGATGATTTTGAAACTGGTAAGATTGTCTTCTCATTTATTTCATATTTTGTTGATTGTATATACTGTAATGCATTTTTCAAGCCTCTGTTTATCTGCAGCTTCTCCTCCTCCTCCTCCTAACCCAATAGGTAAGGCAAAGCTTCTTGCCTAATAGGTAAGGTAAGACTGTGTGCTTTTCTATCAGCATCTTCTGGGAAATTATGTCTACTTTGTACCCTTTCTAGTTACTTGTAACTGGTGTGTTTTCAATTTCTTGCTTTCCTGTATTCTTCTCATGTTTACGCTCAAAAATGTTGATGCAGTTCCCGTGGCGCAGGGGTAAAGCACTCGCTCGGTGCTTCGCAAATGCCTTGACCTGGGTTAGTAACCTGGCTGCACCCCAATTCTTAACTGTAGTCTCTGTTCACCTAGCAGTGAATGGGTACCTGGGGCCAGATTCACAAAGCAATTACGCAAGCACTTACGAACCTGTACATCTTTTCTCAATCTCTGGCGGCTTTGTTTACAATTATTAAACAGTTAATGAGCTCCGAAGCACCAGGAGGCTGTTTATAACAATAACAACAGTTGATTGGGAAGTTTCATGCTTGTAAAATGTGTAATAAATGTAACTAAAGCCGTCAAATATTGAGGAAAGATGTACACGTTCGTAAGTACTTGCGTAACTGCTTCGTGAATCTGGCCCCTGGTTGTTAAATGATATGGCGGGTCGTTTTCCGGGGAAAAATTAGGATTAAGGACCTGTCCGAAACGCTATACATGCTAGTGGCTTTACAAGAATGTAAGAACTCTTGTATATATAAATGAAGGTGAATTCCACTTGCAGTTTTAAGTTATATAGTATAGTGTACAGTTGAAAGTGTGTGAAGTGACTTGATATTTTATGTACTATTCAGGGATTGAAGTAAGAGTGCTAAATACTGTCTGGGACCAGTTTGATTTTGTTTGAATTGCTGATTTATGTTAAGTAATAATGGGTGAAAGTAATTTTGGGTTGTAGATCCCCAAGCACACTTTACCACAGGTGAGAATGAGGTTATCTTGAGGTTATCTTGAGATGATTTCGGGGCTTTTTAGTGTCCCCGCGGCCCGGTCCTCGACCAGGCCTCCGCCCCCAGGAAGCAGCCCGTGACAGCTGACTAACTCCCAGGTACCTATTTACTGTTAGGTAACAGGGGCATTCAGGGCGAAAGAAACTTTGCCCATTTGTTTCTGCCTCGTGTGGGAATCGAACCCACGCCACAGAATTACGAGTCCTGCGCGCTATCCACCAGGCTACGAGGCCCCTTAGACATGGATAGACGAATGAATAATAGTATTATCATGATAGAGTGAGATGCTTGGTATCGGATTTTAGAGAGAATGCCTACTGTTTCCGAAACTTTTTGTAATGTCTGTATCTATAAAAAGAGAGTCTGTCTGTGTCTGTTCATCCAAGGTTGGAGGTGAGACACTTGGGGCTAGCCTTATCAGACTTTTCAAGCTGAGACATGGGAGGCATGGGATTATCATAGCCTGGTTGAGAGCCACCCCTGTGCTTGTTTTAAGAAGGATCAGCTTCTATTCTGAATCCCTATGGCTTCTATGAAGAATGACGTCATCCATATTTGATCTCTAACATTTCTATTTTATAGATTGCCCTCATCTTGAGATTATTACCAGCCTTACCATTTCCTGTAAGACAGTCTCTTCTCTTAGTTTATTTTCATGGATGTTTACTTGTGTTTTTCCCCCATGTGTTTACTAGTTGTGTTTACTAGTTGTGTTTTTACGGGGGTTGAGCTTTGCTCTTTCGGCCCGCCTCTCAACTGTCAATCAACTGTTTAATGTGTGACTCAACTAGGGCTGATCTTTTTCTTTGGTGTTTGCAGCAGTGTGGGAGCTGACTTGTGGTTAAATCATGTGAAAGTGTTACAATTTCACAGTGTGATAGTGTTACATTTGGACAGTATGAAAGATTTCTTGCTAGTGGGGGGGGGGGGGAGACAATATTGGGTCAAGTGGGAAGTTGAAGTTGTGGTGAGTAAAAAACTGATACACTCTTTCTCTCTCTCGCTTACTGTAGAGTGGACCCCACCAAAGCGAGGCTCTGGTCGACGTTCATTGGTCAGTGAAGACAGTGAGCTCAACTGTTCTGCTCTGGAAACCATACTAGATGAACTTCAGAAGCATCCTGCAAGTTGGCCTTTCATTAGGCCAGTGTCCAAGAAACTTGTAAGTATACAAATATTTTATGATAAACGATCACTACTGACTTTGAAAGTAAGAGATATCACCTATCTTTGGTAACTAGCAGCTTGGATGGTACCACCCACATCCACCCCTCCTCTTAACAGATCTTTCTAAATAATGCACCAAATTTTCTCGGCAGATCTCCAAATTTCAGATTGATCAAGTAAAAGTCCAGATTCTGGAAGGGACTGCAATAAAATCAAAATTTTTAGGGAAAGAAATTTCCTTCAGATCATATTTTGGTCTAAATATTATATTCTGGTTCATTTCTAGGGGAAGCCTCATTGGGTCCCTGAAGCTATCTTGAGGTTATCTTGATGATTTCGGGGCTTTAGTGTCTCCGCGGCCCGGTCCTCGACCAGGCCTCCACCCCCAGGAAGCAGCCCGTGACAGCTGACTAACACCCAGGTACCTATTTACTGCTAGGTAACAGGGGCATAGGGTGAAAGAAACTCTGCCCATTGTTTCTGCCTCGTGCGGGAATCGAACCCGCGCCACAGAATTACGAGTCCTGCGCGCTATCCACCAGGCTACGAGGCCCCGCCTGGGTAGGCGAACCAAAAAAAAGCTACTGCATGGTTTACAAAGTGAGACTGCAGCCTCAAATCTACCAAAAAAAAGTACTATTCCAACAATAAAAATAACCACCAACTTTACTTGAAACTATCGCTTATGCAAGTTTATGCAAATAAACAGTTATTTGCATCGTCGGAGGTGTCCGAGAATATGTAAGAACCAGCGGGAACGCACCATGTGGTTTTCTCGTTAATCAAGCGAACACTTGCCAGTCGAGACAAATTGTCGGCGATCTGCGTGCTCGTTATTCAAAATACTCGTGAATTGAGGCGCTCGTCACTCGAGGTTCCACTGTTGTAAAAAATAACACAGGGTACAAAACAATCGAATCTGCCCATAGTAGGAAAGCAACATGTCAAGGATTTGGGAATAATGATGTCTGACGTTCAAACGTTTGGGGAGCATAACCAAGCAAATATTGCGTCGGCCAGAAAAATGATAGGATGGATTGCGAGAACTTTCAAATCCAGGGATCCATTCACAATGGTTGTACTCTTCAAGTCACTTGTGTTGTCCCGTCTCGAGTACTGCTCAGTACTCACTTTTCCCTTCTGAGCAGGAGAGATTGCTGAAATAGAGGGAATACAGAGAACATGTACGGCACGTATAGATGCGATAAAGCACCTAAATTATTGGGATCGTCTCAAAGCTCTCCAAATGTACTCACTAGAAAGGAGATGAGAGAGATACCAAATAATATACACATGAAAAATACTGGAGGGCCAGGTCCCTAATCTACACTGTAAAATAACATACTGGAATGAACGATATGGAAGAAAATGCAGAATAGAACCAGTGAAGAGCAGAGGTGCCATAGGCACAATCAGAGAACACTGTATAAACATCAGAGGTCCGCGGTTGTTCAATGTCGTCCCAGCGACTATAAGAAATATTGCCGGAACAACCATGGACATCTTCAAGAGAAAACTAGACTGTTTTCTAAAAGAAGTTCCAGACCAACCGGGCTGTGGTGGGTATGTGGGCCTGCGGGCCGCTCCAAGCAACAGCCTGGTGGACCAAACTCTCACAAGTCAAGCCTGGCCTCTATTATGTAAAACTTTGAAAATATAAGTATATATGGATATACAAGTAAAGATATTACTTGGGGAGTAGAACCACTCCCAGAACCCCATCAAGCAGGTATCAGACCATAGCAATGTACAGTATAAGAGAAACGAACAGAAAGAAAAGATAAATGATGTAATGAGTGAGGATTTGTGGTGAGGGAGGTAGAGAGGTGGAAGGGAGGTGGGAGGAGTAAGGGGTATGGGAGTAGCGAGGAGTGTGGTCAGGTGAAAGAGAAAGTTTGAAAAAAGGCGGAGAGAGGGAGAGACTAAGAACAAGGAGAGGAGTAGAAAGTAGAAGTAGAAGGTAGAAAGGGCTGCCACCATCCATTCTAGTTCAGTACATACAAGACAAGGGATGGAACTTGCCTGTACCATAAAATTAGCAAAGATGTTAGCATGTATCAACTGAAAACATATAATCGTATATTAAAATCTTAAAACCAGTACTCTCGGAGGGCTCTCCACTTTAGCTTTCAAAATAAGAAGTTTTAGGGAACAAAATTAAAGTCACTTTAAAAAATAAATTAATCAATTATATATTTAACATGATAAGTATCATAATTTAAGCAATTTAACATAATGCTCACTATGTCAAGGTTAATATACAATGTGAATCATTACACAAGAATTTGAGGAACACCACGGCTGACTGCCCCTAAAATCACACAACACCTCCAGTTGGAGACACACAAATTTGTCACCTTACAGTTCAACTCACCAAGTGTCTGGGCCTAAATTGGATAGAGAGGGGGTGGAGGGGGTTGACAGGCAGAGTTCCCCTGCCCAGCCGACAGCCTGGTCTCGGCTGCTGTTCAATCGTACAGCCTCTCTGTGTCTGTTCTATTCTCTGCTGATCCTCTCAAATGTTCAGTTCCATGGGGTACACACTACACACAGAAAGCACACTGGCGTGATGCATCAAATGAACAAATCCACAAGGGCCGTGACGAGGGTTCGAACACCCTGGTTTGTGTCTCGGAGAGACTGCAGGATCCATTGGTAAATCAGGATGATTTCTCAGTTGCAATTCTTTTACCATGTCGTAGCTCAGTCAATTAAGGCAGCGTTTGGGACCCTCTCGGACGTAGGTTCGAACCCTCGTCACGGTCCTTGTGGATTTGTTCATTCCATGGGATATTTATGGGGAATCTAGGAGCTAAACCCTGCCCACCAGTAAGGTAGCCTCAGGCTCTCTACCTAGTCTAGCAGGCATCCATCAGTCTCGGGAGACTATGGAGTTGGACTCTGGTTGTCGGTCTGGAGTGGCCTCTCCAGGGCACAAAGCCAGGGTAGGTTTATAAAGAGGAGAAGCTGTTACCCATGCAGCAGGTCCCCCCCTCTCCTCGGCGTTGAAAGTCTTCAATGGAAAAACAAACGCCAATAGGATTGGTTTCAACGCCTTTGCAGGAACTGTGAGTTTGGGGTTGACCTCGAAGTTGGTGAAAAAAGGCACAGGGACTCCAAACTTGGAGACTGCCTTGGGCATAGTTGTCCAAGGCTGTGTGCCCATCAAACATGCAGCGTTCTACCTACCACCCCTTAAACAGCGGCTTGTTTGATGGGCACAACCCAGCCAGCCGTCTGCAATTATCAGCTTAGCAGAAGCAAGGTCAATTCACATGACCTGACCCCTGGTCAGGTCATGTGAATTGGCCTGGGAACCGGTCGGCCGAGCGGACAGCACACTGGACTTGTGATCCTGTGGTCCCGGGTTCGATCCCGGACACCTGCAAGAAACAATGGGCAGAGTTTCTTTCACCCTATGCCCCTGTTACCTAGCAATAAAATAGGTACCTGGGTGTTAGTCAGCTGTCACAGGCTGCTTCCTGGGGGTGGAGGCCTGGTCGAGGGCCGGGCTGCAGGGACACTAAAAGCCATGAAATCATCTCAAGATAACCTCAAGATGGTCAACTTGAGGTGATCACTGGACTTGTGATCCTGTGGTCCCGGGTTCGATCCCGGACACCTGCAAGAAACAATGGGCAGAGTTTCTTTCACCCTATGCCCCTGTTACCTAGCAATAAAATAGGTACCTGGGTGTTAGTCAGCTGTCACAGGCTGCTTCCTGGGGGTGGAGGCCTGGTCGAGGGCCGGGCTGCAGGGACACTAAAAGCCATGAAATCATCTCAAGATAACCTCAAGATGGTCAACTTGTGGTCATTAACACTAGAGGTGTGACTTTTTAATTACTGAAGGCCAACAGTCTGGTGTCTCAAATATCTTTTCTGGCTGACTCATCTTGTATGTAAAATTAAATATAATTCAACTAAACACTTTTATGGTGTTACTGCATGGTAACACCATAAATCTTTGTTAAGAGTTCTAGCTTACCAGGGACAACTTTGTTATCCCACCCTTGATAACTATTATGCATCCTGGATAACTGTTATGCACTCTGGATAACTGTTATCCACCCTAGATCATATTATTCACCCTGGATAACTTTTATATAATATAGATTCCCTGATGCTCATTATCTTTCATCAAAATCATTATGACATGTCATTGTGAAGGATTTATTATAGAAATAAAGTGATGTGAATAAGTTAAGGTATTGTATTTATATACTTTATCCCTAAGTAATTAAAAAACTAAGTTGGTAGAATCCATTAGTATTTTTAATAGATTAAGTGCATTGCCTTGTGAGCCTAATTACAGTTCACCTACTGGATGCTAAATTTCAGAATAATGGCAAATGGCACCACCATTGCTTCCCTTGCCTACCTTTATCATATAATATGCTACACACATTATATCAACATTCCTTACCTCTAACTATTTGCAAACAGGCTCCCGATTATTACGAAGTTGTGAAGAAGCCAATGAACATCCGAAGAATACGAGAGAAACTGACCAGCATGAAATATGCCACGGATGAGGAGTTCATTGCCGACGTCATGCTGGTGTTCCAGAACTGTCAGCAGTACAACATGGAGCACACTGAGGAGTACAAGAGCGGTGTGCTGCTTTCCAACCTCTTTATAAAGCGGGTTGAAGAATTAGGCCTTATCTATCACGGAGATCTCAGAAAAGAAGCCAGGAAGAAAAGACGTTAACATAGGTCCCCAACTAGATCATCCTGTAAGGTTAACCTGTATTTGTTTTAACCCACTCAGCTTTTTGTAATGATTTTAAGCACTGCCCAGAAGGCCCCCTAAAATATAAGTTAACATTTTCTCCAGTGAAATTTGATGGAGAATCGTGACCAAAAAGAAAGCAACCCGATATTAACGAGTTGAAGAGTACATGGAGAGTTCGAGAGAGAATGGGAGCAGCTGCATGCTTTGAGTACATTGGGTGAACACACTTATGGATGAAGGTGATGGTTTGTATCTAATGATGACAACACTGCAAGTCTACTACATCATTATCTTGAACTTTTTAATGTTTTTTTTTATGTTTCCTAGACATGACTAGTTACAAAAAAGTGAAGCACTCATTTTTTCTATCCTGTTGTCTTGTTTTGTTCTTTTTCTCCTTTTACTCCTCTTTCTTCTCCACTCTTCCGTCTTGCCTCCAGTCCCGTCCTGCCTCCGCACTGCTGTACACCATAATACAGGTTTATACCATATTGATTTGGTTTAAATTACATGTATAATGTATATGATACAAGTTCCAATGCTTTTTTAATTGTCGAGATGAGGAAAGTCAAAATCGTAAATAAAATTATCAATTCTTTAATTGTAGATTTAAAAGTTTGTTGGAAAGCCAGCATTGAAAACAAATATTGAAAGAAATTTATTTTGCTTGCGCAAATGTTATAAATGTTTATAGTTCTGAAAGTAAACAATTACTTGATGAAACTGCTATTCTCAAGAAGCACTCTTCACTAAGGTCTCCTTCCTAGTTATGTTATTTTTAATAGGGAAAGTACGTGAGGCAAGAATCTGCCTGGTACTGTATGTGTGCGTGTACAGTGTGTCCCACGGCGGGTACTGTATGTGTGCGTGTACAGTGTGACCCACGGCGGGTACTGTATGTGTGCGTGTACAGTGTGACCCACGGCGGGTACTGTATATGTGCGTGTACAGTGTGACCCACGGCGGGTACTGTATGTGTGCGTGTACAATGTGACCCACGGCGGGTACTGTATGTGTGCGTGTACAGTGTGACCCACGGCGGGTACTGTATGTGTGCGTGTACAGTGTGACCCACGGCGGGTACTGTATGTGTGCGTGTACAGTGTGACCCACGGCGGGTACTGTATGTGTGCGTGTACAGTGTGACCCACGGCGGGTACTGTATGTGTGCGTGTACAGTGTGACCCATGGCGGGTACTGTATGTGTGCGTGTACAGTGTGACCCATGGCGGGTACTGTATGTGTGCGTGTACAGTGTGACCCATGGCGGGTACTGTATGTGTGCGTGTACAGTGTGACCCATGGCGGGTACTGTATATGTGCGTGTACAGTGTGACCCACGGCGGGTACTGTATATGTGCGTGTACAGTGTGACCCACGGCAGGTACTGTATATGTGCGTGTACAGTGTGACCCACAGATGGTTCTTGTATTCCGCATACTAACTTGTTTTAATAATTTACACATTTCCTTGTTGAAGGAGGCAAAACATAGAACAGTATGTTTGAGGACTGCAAACTATGTCATTTTTATTACTTGCATCTTGTCAAAGAATTAATTTGACATGAGACCGTGAGAAACTCAGGGATGGTGGATATAAATTGAGTTGTTATTCAGTAACAACTGTGCCGCCAGACCATCCATAAGTAAACAAATGGTTTAATAAGCTAAAGTGTCAAAAAACTAAATACATTAAATGCAAAGACATGTGTATTTCATTCTGAAATTCTCATACTTAAAAGACCCAGGTAGCCTGGTCGAGCCCAAGTTATTTACAAAGAAGCTGTTGCATTTATGATCACTGCCAGAGACCCCTTTTTTTTTTGTCTTCGCCTGGTCCACTATTTTTCTCCAACTGAGGACATAGTTGTAGTTAATAACATGTCACAGCTCTCATGTGAAAAATTCCCCACCAGCTGGCGTGCGTGTCAACCAGCTGACTTCACCCACCAGCTGGGAGTGTGTCCACCAGCTGGGCCACATCCACCAGCTGGGAGTGTGTCAACCAGCTGGGCCACATCCACCAGCTGGGAGTGTGTCAACAAGCTGGGCCACACCCACCAGCTGGGAGTGTCAACAAGCTGGGCCACACCCACCAGCTGGGAGTGTGTCAACAAGCTGGGCCACACCCACCAGCTGGGAGTGTGTCAACAAGCTGGGCCACACCCACCAGCTGGGCCACACCCACCAGCTGGGCCACATCCACCAGCTGGGAGTGTCAACCAGCTGGGCACATGAGCTGTGACAGCCAAGCTCTGGGCATTTCCATTAGTACAGTATAATTACCTAATATTTTTGTAGATGTTTATTTGTATTTAGCGGTGAACTAGTGACCACATGAAGTTTGCAATTCTGAATTGAATTAGCAATGCCATCATTCTACAGTAGGATGAATGATTCTTATTGTAAAGGATTTTTTTTAAATGTGTGTATTTATTTTTTAAGAATCGGTGAATATTTTCCGAATAATAATAGTTATTGTAATGGTAGTTTCATTACCCTTTATTGGCTTTCATATTTGAAGGCCCCCAGTAATTACATATAAAATATTTTTCAAAACTGTAATCCAAAACATGTGTGGGCGAACGTCCTTGCTGGTGGCGACTGGTACTTCCAAGACTTTCGAAGAATCAGTCTTTGATGGTTATGACAGCAGTGATCTTTTGCTTTTTACTAGAATTAACCACCAGTGTCAAGTGTAAGATGGATATTTAAAATAATATACTCAAGTGTTATCGGTGGGCATAATTGAAGGCGATTGCACAGATTTGAAGTTTTAAATCTAGTCGTTTTGAAACCTAAAAATCCTTCCCGGCTTAGTGCCTTTTTTTGATAATTACTTGCCCATAACCCTTGCAGTGTGTACCTGTTAAGTGTGGTAACCCTGTGGTGCTCACAAACAAAATTATGAAACTTTTTTTTCCTTTGACATTGTTAATCAGTGTCCAGGAAGAATGAAAATCCAGTAGTCAACATCTTGTGGTTTAGCTGTTGTGGCCTGGGGATAGTTGTGTGTTTCCAGCAGAAATGAGGCAAGGTGCCTTGACCTTAAGGTGATTTCAGGGCTTAGCGTCCCCGTGGCCCCGGTTCTCGACCACGCCTCCTCCTTGCTGGACTGATCAACCAGGATGTTGGACGCGGCTGCTCGCAGCCTAACGTATGAGTCGCATCCTGGTTGGTCAGGTTGATTTTCTCACGGGAATTACCTGTATATTTATTTTCGGTGTTTATTGAGTTTATTTTACTTATTTGCCACTTTATTATTTACGACTATTTTTTTAGTGGTAACAGGTTATATTGTGTGCCAAAAGTGGTGGACATTATTCGTAACTTTGAAAATATACCTATGTACACATTTATTTGTATAAACATATGCAACCCATGTATTTATCCATACAGTACTAAAGTAAAAGCCTAAATCTTATAATTGCACAAAACACACATTGTGCCTGTAAATATATACAGTATATGGTAACCGCTCATTTGCTGCTGTTAACAATGCAATGGGTCCTAGTGTGGGCCGCCCTGCACATTCATACATTGAATGGTGGATGCACGCACGCACGGGTACAAGAGTTGTTACATGTACAGGCACTAGCATTTTGGGCAAATCCTTAATCCTATGTTCCTCGGAATACGACCCACCAAATTGTTTAACAACCAGGTACCCATTTTCTTGTCGCATTTTACCATTTTTACCCATTTTACTGTTGGGTAAACAGAGGCTACAGTTCAGGATTGATGCCCAGTGAATCCTCCCCAGCCAGGATACGAAAATAGGCAAAAATAGCCCCTTTTTTGGCGGCTAGCGGCGAAAATTGGTCGATTTTTGGCAGGTAGCGGCGAAATTCCCGCGATTTTTGCCCGCCATCTGCAAAAATCGCATTGTTTCTGGCCGCTAGCGTTGAAAATAGCGCGGTTTTCGGCCGTTAGCGGCAAAAATCGCGCTATTTTTGGCCGCTACCGGCGAAAATCGCGATTTTTGCCCGCCAGCTGCGAAAATCGCATGGTTTTTGGCCAGTAGCGGCGAAAATCGCGCTATTTTTGCCCGCCAGCTGCAAAAATCGCATAGTTTCTGGCCGCTAGCGGCGAAAATTGCGCGATTTTTGGCCGCTAGCGGCGAAAATCGCACGGTTTTTGGCTGCTAGCGGCGAAAATCGCGCTATTTTTGGCCGGTCGTGGCGAAAATCGCGATTTTTGCCCGCCAGCTGCGAAAATCGCATGGTTTTTGGGCGCTAGTGGCGAAAATCGCGCTATTTTTGGCCGGTAGTAACGAAAATCGCGATTTTTGTCCGCCAGCTGCGAAAATCGCACGGTTTTTGGCCGCTAGCGGCGAAAATCGCACTATTTTTGGCCGGTAGCGGCGAAAATCGCGATTTTTGCCCGCCAGCTGCGAAAATCGCATGGTTTCTGGCCGCTAGCGTCGAAAATAGCGCGGTTTTCGGCCATTAGCGTTAAAAATCGCCCGATTTTTGGCCGCTACCGGCGAAAATCGCACGGTTTTTGGCCGCTAGCGGCGAAAATCGCGCTATTTTTGGCCGGTAGCGGCGAAAATCGCGATTTTTGCCCGCCAGCTGCGAAAATCGCATGGATTTTGACCGGTAGCGGTGAAAATCGCGCTATTTTTGGCCGCCAGCTGCAAAAATTGCATAGTTTCTGGCCGCTTTCGGCGAAAATCGCCCGATTTTTGGCCGCTAGCGGCGAAAATCGCACGGTTTTTGGCCGCTAGCGGCGAAAATCGCGCTATTTTTTGCCGGTAGCGGCGAAAATCGCAATTTTTGCCCGCCAGCTGCGAAAATCGCATGGTTTTTGGGCGCTAGCTGCGAAAATCGCGCTATTTTTGGCCGGTAGTAACGAAAATCGCGATTTTTGCCCGCCAGCTGCGAAAATCGCACGGTTTTTGGCCGCTAGCGGCGAAAATCGCACTATTTTTGGCTGGTAGCGGCGAAAATCGCGATTTTTGCCCGCCAGCTGCGAAAATCGCATGGTTTCTGGCCGCTAGCGTCGAAAATAGCGCGGTTTTCGGCCATTAGCGTTAAAAATCGCCCGATTTTTGGCCGCAACCGGCGAAAATCGCACGGTTTTTGGCCGCTAGCGGCGAAAATCGCGCTATTTTTGGCCGGTAGCGGCGAAAATCGCGATTTTTGCCCGCCAGCTGCGAAAATCGCATGGATTTTGACCGGTAGCGGCGATAATCGCGCTATTTTTGGCCGCCAGCTGCAAAAATTGCATAGTTTCTGGCCGCTAGCGTCGAAAATAGCGCGGTTTTCGGCCATTAGCGTTAAAAATCGCCCGATTTTTGGCCGCAACCGGCGAAAATCGCACGGTTTTTGGCCGCTAGCGGCGAAAATCTCGCTATTTTTGGCCGGTAGCGGCGAAAATCGCGATTTTTGCCCGCCAGCTGCGAAAATCGCATGGATTTTGACCGGTAGCGGCGATAATCGCGCTATTTTTGGCCGCCAGCTGCAAAAATCGCATTGTTTCTGGCCGCTAGCGTTGAAAATAGCGCGGTTTTCGGCCGTTAGCGGCAAAAATCGCGCTATTTTTGGCCGCTACCGGCGAAAATCGCGATTTTTGCCCGCCAGCTGCGAAAATCGCATGGTTTTTGGCCAGTAGCGGCGAAAATCGCGCTATTTTTGCCCGCCAGCTGCAAAAATCGCATAGTTTCTGGCCGCTAGCGGCGAAAAATTGCGGCGAAAATCGCATTTTTGGCCGCTAGCGGCGAAAATCGCACGGTTTTTGGCCGCTAGCGGCGAAAATCGCGCTATTTTGGCCGGTCGTGGCGAAAATCGCGATTTTTGCCCGCCAGCTGCGAAAATCGCACGATTTTTGGCCGCTAGCGGCGAAAATTGCGCGGTTTTTGGCCGCTAGCGGCGAAAATCGCCCGATTTTTGGCCGCTAGCGGCGAAAATCGCACGGTTTTTGGCCGCTAGCGGCGAAAATCGCGCTATTTTTGGCCGGTAGCGGCGAAAATCGCGATTTTTGCCCGCCAGCTGCGAAAATCGCATGGTTTTTAGCCGCTAGCGGCGAAAATCGCGCGGTTTTTTAGCGGCGAAATTGCGCGATTTTTACCCGCCAGCTGCAAAAATCGCAGTTTCTGGCCGCTAGCGGCGAAAATCGCGCGATTTTTGGCCGCTAGCGGCGAAAATCGCCCCTTTTTTGGCCGCTAGCGGCGAAAATCGCGTCGATTTTTGGCCGGTAGCGGCGAAAATCGCGCGATTTTTGCCCGCCAGCTGCAAAAATCGCATGGTTTCTGGCCGCTAGCTGCGAAAATAACGCGGTTTTAGGCCGTTAGCGGCAAAAATCGCCCGATTTTCGGCCGCTAGCGGCGAAAATCGCACGGTTTTTGGCCGCTAGCGGCGAAAATCGCGCTATTTTTGGCAGGGGGAAAATCGCAATTTTTGCCAGCCAGCTGCGAAAATCGCATGGTTTTTGGCCGCTAGCGGCGAAAATCGCGCGGTTTTTGGCCGGTAGCGGCGAAAATCGCGCGATTTTTACCCGCTAGCGGCGAAAATCGCGCGATTTTCTGGCCGCTAGCGGCGAAAAGCACGCGATTTTTTGCCGCTAGTGGCGAAATTCACACGGTTTTTGGCCGCTAGCGGCGAAAATCGCGCTATTTTTGGCCGGTAGCGGCGAAAATCGCGATTTTTGCCCGCCAGCTGCGAAAATCGCATGGTTTTTGGGCGCTAGCGGCGAAAATCGCGCGGTTTTTGGCCGGTAGCAGCGAAAATCGCGCTATTTTTGCCCGCAATCTGCAAAAATCGCATAGTTTCTGGCCGCTAGCGGCGAAAATTGCGCGATTTTTGGCCACTAGCGGCGAAATTCGCACGATTTTTGGCCGCTAGCGGCGAAAATCGCACGGTTTTTGGCCGCTAGCGGCGAAAATCGCGCTATATTTGGCCGGTAGCGGCGAAAATCGCGATTTTTGCCCGCCAGGTGCGAAAATCGCACGGTTTTTGGCCGCTAGCGGCGAAAATCGCGCTATTTTTGGCCGGTAGTGGCGAAAATCGCGATTTATGCCCGCCAGCTGCGAAAATCGCATGGTTTTTGGCCGCTAGCGGCGAAAATAGCGCGGTTTTTGGCAAATAGCGGCGAAATTCGCGCGATTTTTACCCGCCAGCTGCAAAAATCGCAGTTTCTGGCCGCTAGCGGCGAAAATCGCGCGATTTTTTGCCGCTAGCGGCGAAATTCGCTCGAATTTTGGCCGCTAGCGGCGAAAATTGCACGATTTTTGGCCGCTAGCGGCGAAAATCGCCCCATTTTTGGCCGCTAGCGGCGAAAATAGCCCCTTTTTTGGCGGCTAGCGGCGAAAATTGGTCGATTTTTGGCAGGTAGCGGCGAAATTCCCGCGATTTTTGCCCGCCAGCTGCAAAAATCGCATGGTTTCTGGCCGCTAGCGTTGAAAATAGCGCGGTTTTCGGCCGTTAGCGGCAAAAATCGCCCGATTTTTGGCCGCTACCGGCGAAAATCGCGCTATTTTTGGC